ATTTCCGTGGTCCTGTGGCCAGCATCACTATATGCCAAAGGTGCATAGAACGCTATCTTCCCACCAAAATGGTACCTATTAATCTGCTTGCACTTGCATGCTTTCGAAGTGCTCAATGGGCAGGAGCTGGGATGAGTAACGGGAGCTTACCCGTTGCGCAGAGCTATATTGTAATTAATTAATTATGAACCGGCAACTAGCTAGAAATAAAGAGACAGGGATAGAGTCAGGAAAGATTATTCTCACATATTTGCCTCAATTTTGGAGCCCATTGTTACATGACCTCCATCAAAGACTTTTCTGATAAAAGACCCATACTAGACCTGCTAGATGTGACCCATTTCTTTTGTATCACAGGAGGGAGCATGTTTCAACACACTAAAGAAGCACTTTCCTGGATGGATATGTAACATTTCCTCATCAGACCCCCCAAAAAAAATATCAATAATTTTCTTGTCTATCATGATCCCTAGCTAATACCTCGTTGAGATAGTCCTCAAGATCTGCTAAGATGCGGATATAGAAGTGGGGCACCCCTTCCTTGTCGACAATACTCTTAGCCTTCCCATAAGCCTTGCCCAGCAACTCAAATTCCTCCAGACATTTGGTGACATCTCGGATCTTCATAGCATTCCGTATTGTTTTGATCAAATTGGTTAGTTCCTCAAATCTGGCACGCAGGAAAAAGTGGACAAAGAACAATTAAACCAGGGGGTGATGAAAAAGACAAAATAAGGAGATATATCTAAGCAATGAATAAAGGCTATGAGCTCAGAGAAAACAATGCCACTAAGCCCAATGGAAACCAGTTACCAACAGGATAAGGGGCTTTGCAAAGATCGAAAAAATATAATTTTGGTTCAATCCTCCAAACTTTAGGTGCCTTCTTCCAGTAACAATCTATACATACCTTTTGTCTTTAGCACTGCGCACAACTCTCTTTGTATCTTCTTCATCCTCACTCAGCAGCAGAGGCCTATAAGAAAAGAGAAACAGTTGACAGATATCTGTGAATAACTGATAGAGGAAACTGGAAGTCAGAGGGGAATAACTGTAAGACAGAGAGCTCATGCCAAATTATTAGAAAAAAAATCACCAAGAGGATTGTTTTCTAACATTTTTGAATGCATCTGTACAGGGATCCTTCAAAAAATAATATTAACACCTGAATGTTTTTTTTATAGACTATTCTTAATTATGGACTTGAAATTAGCTTCTACAGTTCTGAGCCTAATGCTATTCCTGGACTAGACTAGAAATACAAATTGCAATATTATATATTTTCACTCAGCAATCTGAACCAATATGCAAAATCTGTCACAAAAATCTCACTCCGTCCATTTTACCCAATCTAATTATTTTCTAGGAAGCTTTGAACCCATCTCTCCCATCCTTACCATTCCTGTCATACTTACTGTTTCCCAAAATTGCCTCCAACAGGTTTGGCTACTAATTCGTCTCCAGAGAGTGATGATTCTGACTCACTGTCTGAGCCAGTGGTAAAGAAACGCGACATGGCGACAAATTTGGATTGTCACTCACTTACAATTTCTGACCCTGGAGGATAAATATAAAGATTGAAAAGTCCAGTGAATATAATACTTTCATATGTATGCATTTATTTTTATTGATTTGGAAAATGGAATATCAATGTTTGTACTCTTTGATCAAGAGAAACTTTGCCTCCTGAGCAGAAAGGAAATGTTAGATGTAACTGAAACCATTATATGGATGAGATTTCTGGTCCTTCAGATTAGATATGTAGCCTGTCCACTGATACAATTAATAAAAATAACTCCACAATTATAATAGGAAGCCTAATACAGATTTATTGTAATTTAATAACCCTACCATCTTTCCTCACAAAACAAAACAAAAAACAAGCAGAAAAGCCTGGTGTATCCATATACACCTGATGTGGTATTGCACATCTGGCATCGCCATTCCCAAGGAATATCCTTCATAAAATGTTGAGCAATGCCCTCCCCCAACAACACAGGCTCTTCCACCCTTGTGCTAGTTGTTGCTGGAAGGCGCTGGAAGTCAATGACTTTTATATATACGTGACTTTTTCTCTCCAGTCTGATGCCCTCCGACTGTATTGGGCTTCCTCCCACAAACCTTAGCCCCCGTGGGAATTGTCGTAGTTGAAGACCAACACATCTGGAGAACATCTGGTTGGGAAAACCTGATACGTAATAATTAATAACAACACTACCCATTACTATACATAAACTTTACCAAACTTGTGCTCAAAACTCAGCTAAATAATATTTAAAATTAACCGATCAAAGACAGGCAGACATGCTGGAAAAGAATGTACGGTGCCTATTACCTTTCACAGTTAGCTCAAATACTCTACTGTCGCTTCCCCCTCCCGCCCTCTAGCTCTTCCACCCCCCTTCCCCTTCGCCTCCACCGCCCCAGCAATCGGCATCAACACTCGCTCACCTCGGCCCGCGCCGAGAAAGAAGCCTAGGCTCCACGCAGGACCTTCAAATCGTCGCGTTCTGAGGCGTAAACGATGAAGAAATTCTCTGTCGCAGAATTGATGACTCATTCCGCTCATCAAAGACCCTCCCCCATTTCTGGCGCCTTCGGCTACTGAAGAATCACAAAGTTTTCGACCATAGAGTTGCAAACTCAAGTACAGCTGTATCAGTCTAGCGCCCCCTTGGAAGATGATTGGAAGCGGCCGCTTTCAAAGTTTGCCGGAAGTAAAGCGTCCGAATCTATTGTATCTTTTTGCTGTCCACGCCTTGCCGCATTTTGGGGTGTGTGTGTGTTAATAATTACGATCTTTTTTTTCACATGGATTTTCTGACTGAATCGGAATCCCCCTTTCCGCTGTCTTTCATCTATATTGCGTCAGTTTTTAATTACGGTCCCCCCCAAAAATGGGTACCGTATGCTCACTGATACCCGCGCACACTAATCAGTAATTTATGACAAAAATGATATTTTATCAGTTTATTCAATTTACTCGACAAAAAAGTAAACAAACTGAACATTTCTTAAGTAGCTACAGAAAACTATACTTTGGGGGCATATTTCGCAAGTCCCATATCTATATAACTGCCTTCCATTGGAAACAGCAAAAATTCAGTAAACTGTTGTACATCCCCAGTGAACTTGCTTTGCTACATGAGAAGTGGGGAGCAGGGTAAGAGCAAATAATTACATACATTTAAATTAAAATAATTATGATTAGTACAATTTATTCCACTGTATTTAACTTTCCCTTCCATTACATTAAAAAATATGTATAACGTGCCCATGCCCCTAAAATATGAACCAATCACAATTATTAAGCTAAAACAAAAGACTCATTATCTTCAGTGGCATTTAAACAATCTATACTGCACATAACAAAATCAGCATATGAGGGGGTTCAGCTCCTTGCTTACTGAAACAGATTTTGAACCCAACAAATGATTAATACTCATCTGTACATTATACATTTCATAGAAACAATACATCCTTCTATGTTTGAGCAAATTAAGCCTATTAAACATATTGTTTGCAAACATATATAGGAATCTTGTGTTGCAGTTGGATTACATTTAAAGCCTGCTTTATTGGAGTTAGTGAATATTGCAATTTAATAATCAATTTATAATTTCATTTCTAATTGACAAGGTTCTCTAGAATGTCATTTTACCATTATATTGCAGCTAGCAAAGGCTGTATTAACTCACTACTGTACACATGACTTTGGTTCTGGAATTCTATTATTTTACTCATTTATTTATAAGCATTAAAAATGGTTACGGCGGGAGCTGACTCTATGCAATGTTTACTTTCCATCTTCATACTCTCAAATTAAAGACATCATTAAACATAACAATATAATTATATAGGCCAAATCAATAGCAAAATGGGGGAGGCAAGAATTCCACACTTAGTGAACTACAGTATCAGTTAATAAATGGTTCTGAATGCCAGGTACTTCTGCTCACTAAAGGTAGCCCTCAATTATGTCCACAATTAAGCCCAAAATTTCTGTTGCTAAGCAAGACAGTTGTTAAATGAATTCTGCCCCATTTTACAACTTTCCTTGCCATAGTTAAATGAGTCACTGCAGTTAAGTTAGTAACACGGTTGTGAAGTTAATCTGGCTTCCCTATTGACTTTGATTGTCAGAAGGCCACAAATGGCAATCCTATCTGGGACACATTAACCATCATGAGTCAATAACTAAACATCCAAATTTTGATCACCTGACCATGAGGAAGCTGCAACGGTCATAAGTGTGAAAATTGGTCATAAATCACTTTTTTCAATGCTTTTGTAACTTTGAATGGTCTCTAAACAAATTGATGTAATTCCAGGACTACCTACGGTAATTACATCAATCACTGCAATATTATTTCAAAATGGTCTTCAGCCCTGGGGAAATTTAATCAATCTCCATTGGCAGAATTTTTTTTTGCTGTTGTTTTTGGATGCTGGACATTTGGCCTATGCTTCCTATACAGCAGGGTCCCCAACCGCCGGGCTGCAGACCATCACTGCAGCCCACCAAGAACCGGGCCACTCAAGCAAGTAGGACACAAAACCACACCTCCCCACTCTGTGGTAAAACTGACCTCCACGGAACCAACCCCTGGCACCAAAAAGGTTGGGGGCCACTGCTATGCTGTAAAGTGGCAACTACAAATCATAGCTAGTTTTGAGTGTGGCAAAAGTATAGGGGATGCTACTACCAAAGGAAGTGCATTATCTGAAAGCTAAATACTCATTTTGGAGAGCAAATAAAGGGTGGTTAATTTTAGAGAGAAACTTCAATGTCAGTTCTAACAGGGTGTCTTGCAGAAAGGTTGGACTGTATCTCTTAGAATTCAGTCATTCACTTTAGAAAGAGTTAGCCCAATACCACCATTATTAATTACAAGAATCCAGCAAACAACTTATAATGTCTTACTAGCAGAACAGTTTACCTTTAATATTTAGCTGACATTTTCTCCCTTGTAATTTCTGCCCGTAATTCCAATTTCTATTTTTAATTTTTGTCTCGGTCATTTCAAATAATCACACAAGTCCAGACTTTTATCATACTCTGACATAGGATAATCATTCAGCAACACTAACAGTTTTTCAAGGCCTGGTTTACTAATTAACTTCAGAAAGAAGTAGATCAAATACCGTATTATCTTTTCCACCCACTGGGGTTCCATGAGCATCTAACTGCTAACATATTCACTTATGAATAAAACATAGCATCTCTTTCCCCCCACCTCTCTTGAATCCAGTTATGTAGAGAAGCATCTTCTGAATTGTTTCCATTTCACTTTGTGCGCCATTAAAAATATTACACCTTTGAGAACTTTATAAGTTGGATGATCCCATCCAACAGCAAGTGTCTTTTCTCCCTTTAACCCTGCCAAATTCTATATAATGTGAAGGAGGGGGAAAAAAAGAACAACCTCAGCTGCACTCAGTTAAAACTATCTAATTTCCTAAATCAAAATGTTCAAGAAATTAAGCCAAGAGGATAAATCCCTAGCAGCTTCTGATGCGCCTTTCTTCTTGCGCTTGGAGGTCAGCCAATACTAGTAATACACCCAAGAGTTTCCCCTCCTTACGAATGGGTATCAGCCCACTCAAGAACGAAGGTATAGTGTGCCAAGACATCTGTTGATCCTCCTGGAAAGCATACTTCAAGGAAGGTGACAGAAATAGTTGTGGACAGGGATAGCAATGGCCCCTGAGAGTGAGATGCCCAAAGTGTCGGCTATGCAAGCTACTCCCATGGCAAATTCTCGATGTTCCGGCTTGCTCTGCATGGAGGAAAAGAGAGAAAAAAAATCATATTTCTTTGCCGTGACATTGGATTTGGGTTTCTGTTCTCTCTCCAAAGTGCAATACTGTACACAGCTTACTTCTGGCTGTTTTAAATGTGGCAGATTACTGTTCTTATATGGTGCATTTGACTAGGGTTTAGTATAAGATGTGAACCAGGCCACTGCAGCTTATGAACTCTATTTTTAACCAGCCATGACTTAGCCAATCACAGATGCTAGTATTTTGTACAAGTGATTGCTGGACGAATTAGGTTCATTGAAAGTATTGAAGCAGAAGTTGGGTATCCAAATATCCAAGTCTCCAAAGAAATTAACTGTTCCTTCCAACTTGAAGATTGTCCCCTGGCTGAAATGCCCAGTTCTCCCCATTTGCAAAACAAGTGATGAAAATGCTTGTTTTATCCTATACTGGTTAAAGAGGACCACTGAGTTTGTTTGCAGAGAAACCCTGCAAATTCTTGTAATGATCCCATCTTTTATTCCAGGTGTGAGTAACCTCCTGGTAAAGGGCCACAACTTATGGTTTTTTGACCAGCTGGTGAAAAGGCCCCTACAAAACAGACTAGTTGCTTTGAAAGCTTTTAAAAGGCTATATTTAGAGCCTATGCTACAATTTTGATGTGTTTTGTACTTAAAACGGGGTGGGGTGATGTGGAAACTCTCTGGCCAGTTTTAAGGTATGATGGCCAGCAGGATGCCAAGGATTATGAAAAAAAGGGCAATGCAGTGTCATAGAATGTTTATATTAATTCTACACATTGAAGCATGAGATGATGCTCTCCTTTATCCACCCAACATATGACTGTTCTTCCATCTTTCCCATCCCACCTCTTCTTCTTGCTTCTCCCCTCAAACTCACCTCTTCACTGACACAATGGAAAGTGTTCACATAGCCAGCTCCTCCCAGCAATCCCTCATACAATATCAGCACGAAAACCACATAGATGCTGGGTAGAAACATGTAGCGCACGGCAAACAGGAGAAACACCATATTCAGGCACTTGAGGAAGAACAGAAGAAAATTAGAAAACAGTAGCAATTGTCTGGAAGCCAAATCATAGACAAGAAATAGTTTAAAGGGTGGCAGGCCACAGAGTATTCAAATAGAGCAGGGGTGTCAAACTGCCGGCCCGTGGGCTGGTTTCATCATACCGGAGCCGCGCCCACCCCATTGCCGGCGATGGCAAAAAAGCTCCAATACGTCACGTGACGTCGCAAGTTTGACATGTCTGAAATAGAGGCTCACTGGCTTCTTTTCTGCTCTTAATCAGTCCTTGTTCTCAAGTTTTTAAATTCAAGCATCTTTCGCAGATAGTAGCAGCTTAGGCCCCTGATGAATCCCTCTCAGTTGATTTTTACAACTATTTTATGATGTTAACAGAACGTCGAATTGTTTACGGTAGTCAGATTTTGTTATTTTTTTTGTTTGCCTGATGCAAACCTCCTTCAGCCTATGAAAGTAGGCAAAATATAAATAATTCTGATACATAAATACAAAGCAAGTGGGAGGAGCGGAATAAATGTAACCATCAGGAGAGGATCTGTTTCAAGTGGATGAGAAGGAATCATTCAATGCAGAAGGAGGGGAAATGTTGGTGAAGGACATTTTTTACCTGCAATATAGCCAGAAGCCATATCTTTCGGATTCGTATACAGCTGGCAGAGGAGCGGGAAATAAAAACCCCTAATTGATACAGCATCTGATACCTGCAAAAAGACAGTAGGAATTTGGCTCAAGCCACAGTATGGATGGTTAAATTGTTACTGCTATATATGAATATACTAACTGTAAATATAAAAAAATATTATCTAGACTTAGGACCACAATTGGGAGCAGAATTTCTGATGCTAGGCAAAGCGACAAATTAGTTACACCAGAGTTTACAAATGATTTTTGCCACAGTTGTTAAACAAATAACTGCAGTTGTTAAGTGAAGCATGCAGTTGTTAAGCAAAGCCAGCTTTCCCCATTGACTTTGCTCATCAGAAGCTGGCTGGGAAGGTTGCCAAGGGCGATCACATAACCCTGAGAGATGCTGCAACAATCACAAATATATGCTGGTTGCCAAGTGATCAAATTTTGATCCGGTGACCATGTAGATGCTGCAACAGTTGTGAAGGGCAAGGACTGACTTTTCTCGATGCTGTTGTCACTTCAAAAAGTTGCTCAACAAATGTTTGTCAGTCGAAGTCTAACTGTATCTTTTTTCTAGTCTACCAACCTTTCTCACTCAACTAACAATTCATTCCCCCCCCCCCATTAAGTAACATCCAGACACGTTAATCAATGTTGGATGAGGCTAATGGGGTTTAGAGTCTTAACATCTGGAAAGCGCCAAGCACCTTCCCACTTACCAGCGATATTGTTGGGGGTGATTTAAAGTTGTGTTTCGAAAGTACAACAATTCAAACTGGGAAAGAACAACACAGAGAGTAAATGTTAAAAAAAGGAAGAGCCAAAAAATGAATCAGCACCACCTCCGATAAAGGAATAACTACCCATTATGCTTACCAGTCCCTGATTGATGAAGTATTCAGCAAAATACACCACAGACAAGGGGATGAGGTATTTCAAAAGACCCTGAAAGAGACAAAGCAAATGAGTTCATTGTGTGAACAGCCAAATTGTTTTAAGAAACCATCAGGCCCTTCTTCGTACAAGTAACACCATCATCTACCTAATAAGTTGAAAACATCATATTATCTGTGAATGTTTATATATAAATAACACGCAGATAACATAAGAACGCAGATAACATAAGAATTCTTATAAATTAAAGCATTACAAAATTAAAGCCCAAAAGTACAGGAAGTCCTCAACTTACCACCACAACTGAGCCCCAAATTTCCATGGTTAAGCAAGACAATTATCAAGTAAGTTTTGCCACCTTTTATGACCTTTCTTGCCACAGTTGTTAAGTGAATCACTGCAGCTGTTAAGCTAGTAACATGGTTGTTAAGGGAATCTGGTTTCGCCATTTGTGTTTCTTGTCAGAACGTCACAAAAGATAATCACATGACCCCGGGACATTGCAAAATCATAAATACATGTTACTTGCAGGCATTTGAATTCTGATCATGTGACCACTGGGATGTTGCAATGGTCATAAGTGAGAAAATTGGGCATAAGTCACTTTTTCAGTGCCACTGTAACTTTGAATAGTCACTAAATGAATGGTTGTAAGTTGAGGATTTCCTCTATCTTAAAGTACCTAATTACATGGATTATTTGAAGTTCCAGGGAATATATACTCATGTTATACAGCCCATGGAGAAGGCTGAGATGATGATGTATTAAATTTGTATAGCACCCAACTCTGGGTTAATAGAAGCAAATGTAGTTCAGAGTCATCATCTTAGTAAAGTACATCATTCATTTTTGTTGTGAACTCAGCCTTGCGTGCACAAAGGTTACAATATGCATGATACACATGCACAGAATGTTGCAGCCTATGTTATCATAGAAGGTTGCAACTATAAATGATAATAAAGCATCACAGTTTAAATATTTTTGATGACAGAAATATGGGGAAATGTTTAAATAAAAGGTATCATTGATAAAACATGAGTTTGAAAGGCAAGAGTTGGAAGTTTTTAAGAAGAGACTGGACAGCCGTTTGTCTGAAATGGTGTAGGGTTCCTGCCTGAGCAGGGGGTTGGACTCGATGACCTCCAAGGTCCCTTCCAACTTTATTATTATTATTATTATTATTATTATTATTATTATTATTATTATTATTATTATTATTATTATTATTATTTATAGTTGATTTCCAGTAGAAGTTAATTATTTGTGTATTGTCCACCTATTTTCCCCAAAATGTGTTTTGATCCAGTCTCTATTTATTATTAAATTTATATTGGGTTTTTTTTGTTCAGGATTAAAGGGAGAATACATGGTGTTCCTCCTATTTTTCCTCACAATAACATGCCAATGAGTAAGTTGAGCTGGGAGAAAACAAGTGACCCAAATTCACTCAAGGAGTTTCCATGACAAAAAAGGAAGTAAAACTTGAGTCTCTCTTCTCTTAGTCCAGCAGGAGGTAGAATATCTGGGAAACATTTCACTTTTAGGTTCACAGGCCTCCCTCTTTTTTTAATCCCCTTTTTCAAAATTAAAATACTTCTAGGTTTTTATTACCCTACCTTATTCACTAATATTTACAAAACGGATCTAGGTAATATTCTTTCTTCTTGTCTTTTGCTGTCATGTTTTTACTCCACCCCTTTCCAGAGAAAATCTATTAAATAGCTACACAATATTCTTACGAGAAAACCTTCTAAATTCGCCACAGGTTATCAACTCTTCCCTTGGCACACTCAATTGATTCCCACTGAACCACCAAACTTGCACAGCTCAAAAAGTTCTTCCCACCTTCTCTGAGCAGGCTTCTTACCTTGACCACCTGTTCTTTTTCTTGCAAGGTGAGCTGAGGTTTTTGTGTCGCTGGAGGAGGGAGACAACAGTTGAAATTATAAGAATGGCATTGTATTTTCCTCTGAGAAGTGTTGCAGAAACACACAAAGCTGGGGGGAAGCACACAGTCAAAAAGTGCCCTGATGTTAACTGAGTGGTTGTGGAAAATGGAGATAGTCCTCAGGCTACGACTGATTGCTTAGCGACTGAAATTCTGACAGACCTGCTTGGGGGAAGCTAATGATCTGAATTTGAAGTTCTGATGTTCAAGGCTCCTCAATGATGTGACCGCATTTTGGGTGCTTGGCAACCAGGTTGCAGCATCCCACACTCATGTGACTGCATTTTACGATGGTTTTGTCAAAAACCATCATTTTCTTCCAGATTTCAGCAAAACCGCATCCATCTCATACCACTGATTTGCTTAACGACTATGTTTGCTTAACAACCAAACTGATTCACTTAACAACTGCTGCAACCCCTCCCTCCCGGAAAATTGGGTGGGTCACATTTTACAACCATCACAAGTTACAACTGTGATGGGCAGGCTCCATTAGGGTTGCCTGCCATTTGAGGACTAACTGTGTTTGGTTTGATTTGGAACATGGGAGTTTTAAGGAAAGAAATAGTTGCCCTAAGCAACGAAGATTTAGTACACCCCCCCCCCCCAAATGTTGTGCCTTAAAAAATCTACTATCCCTCTCCAAATATTGGGGGCACCGGGCAGGAGTTTCAAAAGAAGCTTCACAGTGTGGATGCATGCTGTCTGCCCGTACTTAATGGAAAAGATGACAAGATTTATGACAAAATTGTTTCTTGCCTTTGGCCTGAGCCGAGGGCATCACAGTAAAGGATGTAGCAGGAGCATTTTTCAGAGAGGAAAGATTTCAGAAGAACAAGCATTATGGATCATGCTTTCCTCTTTTGAGGTCATGGGAGGCATTCACACAAAAGTCACTTACTTTGAGGGAGTGTCAATTTGTCCCCGAGAAGAGGCTGTTGAATCACAGAAGAGGCACAGGGCGATTTTGGCTTGCAGACCCCCCAGCCACAGCGAGGGGCTTGAGGAGGGGGAGCCAGCAGGAAGCAATAGCTATGGAAGTGAAGAAACAGGGAGACAATCAAGAGCCATAACACGTTCTCGCCCTCCTTGATGTTACAGTTATTATCCCCAAAATAAGCCATAGCTTGCTTCTGGCTAGCAAGGACACGTCACTTAGGATTTCATGCGATTATTCCCTTCTCATTATGATCCTCATCAGCTAAAGCAATGAGAAGGATCCTTTTTGTGACTGATGTCACATTTAAAAAACAAATGTTTAAAAACCAAACGCTGCCCACAGCCCGCCCTCAAGAGTGAGGAACATGATAGATAGATAGATAGATAGATAGATAGATAGATAGATAGATAGATAGATAGATAGATAGATAGATAGATAGATAGATAGATAGATGATAGAATTTTTTTTTAAAGGCAACAATAGTGGAATTAAGGGATTTCTGGTTCATTCTTTCTCTGTTCCCCATTTTCTGGGATAGGCATGGGTTAGAACAGGGGTGTCAGACTAGCAACGTCACGTGACATGTCACGACTTATCGTGACTTTTTTGCCACTGCCTACCACTTTTTTGCCACTGGCCCATGGGCCGGCAGTTTGACACCCCTGGGTTAGAATCATTAACGCAGTTATTAAGCCCCTCTCCCCTTATTCTTCCTTGAAAATGGATGCCACAGTCTTGAGAGGGGTGGCTGGGGAATTCTGGGAGTTGAAGTCCACACATCTTTAAGTGGCCAAGATTGAGAAACACTGATCTAAGAACCGCAAGCCTTGCAGGATGTCCAATCCTCAACTGTGGTGTGAAGTATAAATTAGATAGACTACCTAAAGTTCTACAATCTTAGGAATAGTTAAAACACACGTAGTTGAGGGGATGGAGAAGGACTGAAAAATATTCAAATGCAAAAAAAAGAAAGAAAATAGCATCTTCACAAAGATGATCACTACAACAAAGCGATATGCTTTTCTATTTCTTCTTAAAATATCTTTTCTTTATAATAATTCAATTTTATGACAGACTCCGACCAATACACTCAACAATATAAAATTCAAATTGATCTAGGTCACACAATCCAGAATAACACTGCAATTTTTGTTTCTATTTAATTACATCTCCCTCTTCCCTAAATTGAAGCATTGGATCTAGTGAGCATCCAAATAACACTTTCCAACTTGCTGTGAGATTCTAGAAACTTAGTAGGCAAATAATAGCTAGCATAAAAATAATTTCAGTGACTAGGGCTTTTGTAAGCTATAGAATATTACAAATTGCTACAAAAAGAAGCAAGATGAGTCAGTATTTTTATCACTCTCCCCACAAGGACACGGAAACTTGCAAGATGGTTGTCAGCACTTCAAGGCAGTCCAGACCAAGAAATCTAAACCGTGAACACTAAAACTAATTTTATTATAAGATTATACTAACAGAATCTTGCAAATCTGGATGTGCCTCTTCCACTCTTGCCTTTATGTTCTAGAGAACTAGCGAGGGTTAATTCTGAGATTCTTTTTCCAATACATTTCTGCTTGGGATTTAGATTTCATTTATCAGATGTTGTCTAGATGGTGGCTCTTCCTCCTGTCTCTCAAGGTTATTCTCTCAGCCACTTACAGCTGCTGGCAACTGTGATGTGAGCACTATTTTGGCTCTGAGTCCAAAGTATAACACAGGGGTAGTCAACCTTGGCTCTTTTATGACTCGTGGACTTCAACTCCCAGAATTCCTGAGCCAGCTAAGCTAAGCTGGCTCAGGAATTCTGGGAATTGAAGTCCACAAGTCATAAAAGAGCCAAGGTTGACTACCCCTGGTATAACACATCCATATATTTCATATACAATCAATCCTGCTTCATTTTATGCTCTCCTAGCCACCATCAATCGTTCATTCGTTCGTTCATTCATTCATTGCCCACCTTTACTATTTTCATAAATACTCTTTCCTCCTCCTATTTTCCCCACAATAGCAACCATGTGAGGTGAGTTGGGCTGAGAGAGAGAGAGAGAGACTGGCCCAAAGTCACCCAGCTGGCTTTCATGCTTAAAAAGGGACTAGAACTCAACAGTTTCCTGACATCTAGTCTGGTGCCTTCATCATTAGACCAAACTGGCTCTCATTTTGTCTTCTTGACATCTATCGCCTCTTTTTTTTTCCCCATCTGCATGAGACTATCTTTGCAGGTCCCATTTTTAGACCTCACCTGCCCAGCATGATAACAGGAATAATGGTCATAAAGAGGAGAGTATCCTGCGGAGTCAGGCCTGCCTGTGTCAGCCCGAGGTAGGAAAGGGCCCCGATCAAGCCAGCCCCACCTGTTCCAGATGACCAGGCAGACACCACAGCACTTGTGGGAAGAGAAGCAAAGGAAACAACATGAGTCAGAGAGTTTTGGGTATTCAACTTCCACATAATCAATTCCAGTCTAACCGAAGTTCTTGCAAGCAAGTCAAATATGGAATTGTTTGGTGTTAGACATCATGTTAAAATATTGCATATATGTACTTTTGAACTGAATATTTTATTTGGCCAAGTATGATTAGACACACAAGGAATTTGTTTCTGGTGCAGAAGCTCTCAATGTACATGCAAAGCATGCACATATGTATTTTGTGTATGTATATACTGTATGTACAAAAGTACACATATGCATCATTTTAAAATGATGCATATATCTACTTTAAAGATGTTTATCCTTCACTGAAAGAGTTTTTAAATCAAAAGCTGCTCAACATTTCTCATGAGCATATATTGGTATTAGTACTGACAGTAGGTACTAGCCCAGTGGTGGCGAACCTACGGCATGCGTGCCAGAGGCGGCACTCAGACCCCTCTCTGTGGGCACACACGCCGTTGCCCCAGCAGAGATCACCAGAGTAGCGAGCACGTGGCGTTTGGAAGCGACGGGGCAGGAAGTGAGCGAGCAAGCGGTGTTGGGCCCCTGGGGATGCCCTGGAGATGGCGAGGGACTGGCGCCACACTCACCCAGTCTGCTGTGACCACTGCAGCCATGCCCACCCAGTGGGGCACGCCCCCCGCCCCCCCTGAGGGCACAACAATGGTGATGCAGCCCTGGCACTTTGTGATAAATAAGTGGGTTTTGGGTTGCAGTTTGGGCACTCGGTCTCTAAAAGGTTCGCCATCACTGTACTAGCCAATAAGAACTCTGTCCAACTCACATTTCTAAGCTCAGTCTAGCTAGGTTGGGTACATACAGCTTATTTTGTCCAGAACAAAATACACATCTTAAGACTGCTTTCCAAATCAGATATACTGTTTAATAAAGTATGTCTGCCTTCTTTAAATATTAACAGAACTAGCTTTAAGGAAAAGAAAATGTCACCTATTAACATGCAGAAATATATTTAATGGTCTCTGCAGCTCAGATCAACATCAAAGAACATGTGGATCCAGTATTTATTAATAAGTAACTACTAAGTTCTGGTGGTTGCAAAGTTATTTATAGATGTTTCTCCCACTTCCTTCCCATCAAATGCTTCTGGGTCCCACGTAAGCATAAATCTTTCTTCAAAGAAAAATAAAATTAAGATTGGGCATTGACCTCTGAACTCTGTTACACCCAGGCTCCCAGCCAGTTAACAAAAATTATTTTGCTTGGTTCGCTATGTGTACCCTGTCTGAATAATCATGTTTTTGGAAGGTGAAATAGTTTTGACTATATACTGTCTTTTTGTTTTTATAAGCTATCCAAATGGTACATATTTTGATGGCTCAGATACCTCTTCCTGCAATTTCTGAATACCAGAGCTGGATGCTGATAAAGTTATTGCACCGTATATATAATCATATAAGCAAAGATTCATGAGATCAAATCCCAGTAGAGGGTTTGAACCCCAAAGAATAACATCTAATATCTGAGGAGTCTCAATACAGTAAGGGCAACATTAGTCAAATGGTAATTCCAAAGGTACTTTTCAAAAAGGCAACTTGACTTTTCTTTCAACCATGACCTGGATGATCGAGAATCATTTAGTCAGATGGTACCTCCTGGTGGTCAGTATAATCAAAAATACTACACAGGATATATTATATATTTATGTGTGTGAAGAGAGTTGTGTCTATTTGCCAGGAGAATAGGGTGGGGGGCTGCATTTCTGGGACCACCAACCCTTTTTTTTTTCAGTTCTGTCAGGGAGAATATATGATTCCAAATCCAGTTTCTGCTTTCACACTCAGTTGTTTAGAAAGTTACTTAGTCTTACAATGAGGCTGGTTCCCATGACCATCACTTTGTAGAGTTAGTGCTCATGACAGTTTCTCAGATTTCCAGTTGAGTCCATAGGCCCAGAAAAGCTGGACATCTCAACTCCAAAGCCTAATTTGTTAAGCAAGCAGGAGCCACACCTAACCCTATTGTAAGGTGTCATCCGCCATCCAAATCCTACAACTGCCCTTCTCAATTTTTACCTGTTGAAAAATGATGTGAGTGCCAGGAATGTTATTTCACCAATACCAGATGATATACTGGCAAGCACGACACCTGTAGCGATGAGGAGGGAAAAGGAGACATCACACATAAGCAATCTGTCCTCTTGTTATCAAGTCTCTGAATTATGCAGAGGGCAGATCCGAACTGGGCCTGGCTTCTTCTGTCACAAACCTATCAGTTGTATACCATATGTTCATATCTGTGCAAGAACTTTGGCAGAAATATTTAAAATACACATGTATTTTACTGAATATTTGTTGTTGCTTTCCAGAAGGAATACTTCTACTTGGAATTCCAGGTTTCCCCTTCTCTATTACACTCTGTTCCATATTCACATTCCCTTTTTTAAGGAATATTCAGCATTCTTTTACCACTGAACATACTCTAGTTTGATATTTTGGCTCCTTTAAAAAAATTATATAAGCCTTATGATTTCTCCAAGCACTGTTAATAACACTTTTTGTACTTTTTACTTTGGATGCAAGCAATAACATGTTAAACCAGTTATGGTAAACCATAATTCTGGCATATCATGACCAGTAAATTAGGGTTATGGATGGATCAAAGCTACGTCAGTTGCATTTGATTCTAAATATAGTCAAAGAGACTTTGGTGCTGAAAAGAAAATGGCTGGATTGAATGACAAAGGCACTCTTTCCTCCAAAATCTGAATAATCATCCATTTTACGATTATACACATGTAAAAATGACACTCACCCAAGAGGCTTTGTGTTGAGGTGGTGGAGAAGGCCACTAGTAGAAAGCTGCCCCAAGCTGAGGTAACACAAATGCCAACACGCAAGCTGTGAAGGGAGAGAGGAAGGGAAGGAAGAAAGGAAGGAAGGAAGTGGAAGGAAGGAAAAAAGGAGGGAAGGGAGAGAGGGAGGGAAGGAAAGAAGTAGAAAGAAGGAAGGAAGGAAGGAAGGAAGGAAGGAAGGAAGGAAGGAAGGAAGGAAGGAAGGAAGGAAGGAAGGAAGGAAGGAAACAGGATCAAAACAAACTACCAAGCAATAAGCAAAGAGACAATTTCTTATGTGAATACATTTTCCTTTCTCCTTTACTAAAATTTCCTAAATCCACTGATTTCTTACCTGGATATGAACATGTGGCTTTCTTCAATAGAAAAAAAACACCTACAAGCATATGTTCTTCAAAAAGCAAATGTAATCCCTGTACAAGCAGATCACACAATAGGTCAACATTGTCTAGGGCAGTGATGGCGAATCTTTTAGAGACCGAATGCCCAAACTGCAACCCAAAACCCACTTATTTATCGCAAAGTGCCAGGGCTGCATCAGCATTGTGGTGCCCTCGGGGGGGGGCGAGTGTGTGTGGCCCACTGGGTGGGTGTGGCTGCAGTGGTCACGGCAGACTGGGTGAGCATGGCCGGAGCCAGTCCCTCGCCACCTCCGGGGCATCCCCGGGGGACCAATGCCACTTGCTCGCTCACTTCCTACCGTTGCTTCCAAACACCACGTGCTTGCTACTCTGGCGAACTCTGCTGGGGCAACGGCACGTGTGCCCACAGAGAGGGCTCTGAGTGCTGCCTATGGCACACGTTCCATAGGTTCGCCACCACTGGTCTAGGCCAGTATTTCTCAACCTCAGCAAATTTAAGATGTGTGGACTTCAGCTACCAGAATTCCTCAGTTAATTGCTAAATCTAAAAGTTGCCAAGGTTGAGAAACACTGCTGAAGACTTTGACTTCCAGGTGCGCTGGAATACCTTTATTCCTATTAGATATGGCCAGGTTGGAAAAGAGAGCCCAAGACACTGATACTTTTGAATGCAAAGCTTGGCAACATTGGACAGCTTTTCTCATACATCAAGGATATTTTTTTTTATGTAAAGAAAGTTCCCATCAGGAGTTCAGGTATAATATACCTTTGATGTAGTTGTTAAAATGCTGGCTAGGAATCAGGAGATTGTGAGTTCTAGTCTCATCTTAGGTATGAAAACCAGCTGGGTGACTTTGGGCCAGTCATTTTTTCTTAGCCCAACTCACTTCAGAGGGTTGTTCTTATGGGGAAAAAAGGAGGAAGAAGCATTATATATGTTCACTGCCTTGAGTTATTTATAAAAGTAATAAGGCAGGATTAAAAAAAAACAACTAAGAAATAATAATAAATAAAAATACCTTCTGTTCTCTTATCTACAATGATGTGTTAATTATTTTGCACCAGTGTAAACTTACCCATATGGGAACAAGTGGATGCAAAAAGGGGCACTGAATTTGATGAAGAGAGTTGGCAAAATGTCCGCCAGAAGTACCATCTATACAGGATACACAAAAAGAAAAAGTAGTTGGTATCAAAACCTCAAAATATCTCGCTCCTTCCCCTGCCTGATCTGGCCTTTACACTTACCCCAGTCGAAATGGTGTTGCAATCATACCGAGAAGTATTGATGGTGGTATTCTCTGGAGAAACACTGGGGGGAATCTGAGTGGGAAGCAAAACACAGGAAGCAAAACTCAGGTGTGGGATCAGCAACCTGCACAGGTGCTGCTGCTGCGTGTATGTGTTTTTTGGACAAAGTTCCATGAAATCAGCAAAGCTCTGATCAACACTCTGAAATTAAATCTGACAATCTCAAAATATCTCCATGTTTAAAAATCTGGACAGGTAGTCCTTGACTTATGATCAAAATTGAGTACAAAATCTATGTTGCTAAGTGAGACAGTTGTCAAGTGAATTTTGTCCCATTTTACAACCTTTCTTGCCACAGTTGTTAAGTAAATCACTGCAGTTGTTAAGTTAGTAGCATGGTTATTAAGTGAATTGGCTTCCCCATTGAACTTGCTTGTCAGAAGGTCATAAACAGTAATCACATGACACCGGGACACTTCAGCCGTCATAAATATGAGTCAGTTGCCAAGCATCTAAATATTGATCACATGACCATGGGGATGCTGCAATAGTTGTAAGTGTGAAAAACGGTCATAAGTCTCTATTTTCAGTGCTGTTGTAACTTCAAACAGTCACTAAATGAATGGTAGCAAGCCGAGGACTATCTGTATGTAAATATATACATGCACATATACACAAGAGTATCTAGATACTGTAGTACAAAAAAAAAAGATGGGGACATTCTATGGATAACATCACTGGAAGTTCTGAATTAGATCTCCCTGAAAATGTTGCACTGGTGAATTCTAAGAAGATACAGAAGATAAAAATGCCAACAGCCTCTCATCACCATCTTTCATACAGAGCAGGGGTGTCAAACTCGCAATGTCATGTGACATGTCGTGACATATCGCGACTTTTCCCCCATTGCCGGCAATGGGGTGGGTGTGGTTTCAGTGTGATGCATCTGGCCCACGGGCCGGCAGTTTGACACCCCTGATACAGAGCCTCCACTCTGAATTTGCTGGGTTTACTAAGGTAGTCCTCAACTTACAACCACAACCAGAATTCCTGTTGCTAAGCAAGGCACTTATTAAGTGAGTCCCACCTAGTCTTACAACCTTTTTGCCACAACTGTTAAGCGGATCACTGCAGTTGTTAAGTGAATCATGCAGTTGTTATGGAAATCCGGTTTCCTCCAGTTTACTTGTTGGAAGCCACCTGGGAACATCAGAAATAACAATTACAAGACCCTGGGATCAGCCCAGGGTCTTGTAATTGTTATTTCTGACGTTCCCAGGTGGCTTCCAACAAGTAAACTGGAGGAAACCGGATAAATAAACCCTCATAAATATATGTTGCTTGCCAAGTGCCTAAATTCTGATAATGTGACTGTGGGGTTACAATGAAGGAAGTGGGAGGACCAGTTGTCACTTTTTACAGTGCCATTGTAACTTTAGATGGTCACTAAACAAATGGTTGTGGATCAAGGACTTATTTACCCAGGCAATCAATGTCGAATGGCTCTCTGCTAAGACATTTCTGCCAAATTCAAGTGAAATCTATTTTCTACCTCGTAGATAATGTAATAAAATAAACCGCAGCCTTCTCATTTTCTGGCTATTGGCTCAACTGATTGGAACTAATGGGTAAAAACTCCACAGATAAGCAATTCTGCTTCATTTCACATTTGTTCACTTCCTTGTACTTACATACCATTTTTTCCTTGCTCTTATTTTCTTACCCACTCTTTCTTCCAGTAACTGACATTTTATTTTGACCTGTTCCTCATTCTGCTTTTACATACCAACACAAATATATACACAGGGTCTTTTTCCTTGCACACTCACCGGTCCCGTCCCATTATGCTCTGGCACTTTCTGATGGCTGAGAATGTCATGGGCTGCACTCAGCATCACTACATAAGCAAAGTTGTTGCAGAGGCCAAGCAGCCTGTTTGAGGAGAAGGCAGTTTAGGAGACATGGAAGTTACCACATATGCATACGTCAGTGTCTGATTTCCTAAAATGTGTTAAGCTATAAAACAGATACTTAGTTTTGGCTTAGTGGATTATACGAACCCAAATATTGTGGTTTGCTCAGTTTATTGTATAAACTTGGTTGCAATAGATCCAACCAATGGCGGCTTTTTAAAGCACTAAATGAACTATGCTTTACCATAGTGTGAACTGTATCAGTGTTATCATTTTGTTCATTTTTTATTGTAATTATAGATTTTTCATTGTAATTACAGGCCCCTCTTTCTTTCACAAAAGAGCTCAGGGTTCAAACACTGATTAGATCCAAATTAGTTTAGCTACAATTTTTTCCATCAGTCATAAATATAAGACTCTATCACCACACTCAAAATTCCCCAAAGTTCTGATGCATGCAACATAAAGTGTGCTGCAAACAAAATAGGAGAACGATCCAGTCTGATTGGAAGAGGATGCATAAAAACATCCAGTTTGTAGAAAAGATACTCAGAAAATAAACATGAGCACAAACCAGAAGTGCCTATGCTGATGTGCTACAACATGAAAAGGGAAGCCAGTTATCACACAGCAATGGAGAAGAAAGAAAGTAGTAACAACTGAAAATGTGATGTTGAACATCCTGCATCTCCTTGAACCAAAGAAGAAGCATAAAGGAATTTACCAGAAGCCTGCTTTGTTTCTGCAGGCATCCAGGGTGGCTTCGGACTCCGCAGGGAGAGCCAATTCTTCATTTTCTTCTGTTTGCGGGGAGAAAACAAGCACAGCTGTCAGGATTGAGGAGACATCTGGGGGGAAAGGAGAGAGCTGGACATGGGAACAGACTCACCCTCAGAATCACCAGAGGCCTCCTGCCATCTACCCCCAGCGTGCCCCATGGCAAGAGGTAGAGATCGGGGCACCAGAGGGATCACCTGCAATTACAAAAGGTGGGAAGGAAGAGGAGGAGCATGAATGCACAACAAATTTTGGGACTTTCAGAGATACACTGCGATGCTCCTTCTGGCTTGCTCGCCCCCGTCCCATTCGTCATTCTGGCTAAAACTCCGCCGCTACCTTTAAGCCAGCGTTTCGATTAGACTTCTCTGCAGATCTGGGGGCAGAAGATCGGATAAATCGAAACCGAAGTCGTAGGCAGGGCAACCCTCCGGCAGATCCTACTTCCTGGTTTGATACCACTTCCTCCTGCTACGCAACGTCCTCAGCTGGGCTTCGCTGTCAAGGGCGAAGCCGAGAGCGCGCACCGGGGCACCAGGGAAAGCCGGTTGCGCGCCGCGATAGGCTCAGGATGGCTGCATTGGAACGACCCCGCGAAACCCCCGTTAGTGCGATTTAAAAGAGGGGTGTGGTATCCAGGAATTCCTGCAGATGTTGATGCTTTTAAACAAGTTGCCCGAGCCTTACATGCTGCGTGCCTGCTTATGCACCCTAAAAGATGTGTGACGGGGAAAGGATGTGAGTTTCTCAATGTAGGTTTTCACTATAGTTGGGGGGGGGGGTTGTCTTTCAAAGTGGTGAAGGGTGGGGGAAAGTGTAAAAGTATGCAAACATAATTTGCAATACAAATCATTGTTATGGAACTGCTGTAAAGCCTCAGTGTAATGCACACTGAAACAGTAGCTTCTCCCTGATGTAGTGAGTATAGTACATTATATTATGGAAGGTCTAAGTTAAGTTCCACTCAGACTGAAACTTACTGGGTGATTTGGGAAATTTAGACCAGAATCGTGCAAGTCGCCATGGTATTCCTTCTGACACTCTGGAAGTGAAAGTTGGTCTTTGAAGAAGTAGGATTGGAAGAATATTGACACTTTTGGAATTGGAGAAGACTCCTGAGAAATCCTGAGAAAGCCAGAAAACACATGCATCATCAAATAAATCAATTCAGAATTCTCACTTGTGGCACAAATGATCAGGTTCAAGTTATCTTGCTTTGGACACATCAAACAAAGATCTAGTTCTCTGGAAAAGGCTCTAATGCTGGGAAAAGTGGAAGAAAAGAGAAGAGGACAATTAGCAAGGTGGATGGATTCAATTATGTCGGTGATGGTGACCAATGAAAGACTTGAAGGATCAGATTGTCATGGATAAAATCTATGTGACTGCTAGAAGTCAAAAATGATTTGATGGCACATACTCCATCATATGCTTTTAGGAGAAAAACAGAATAAAAATGCAGTCCATAAGGTCCAATCCAAGTTGAAGTAACCTGTTCAAGAAAAAGTCTTGAACAAGGTCTTACATCAGTTTAAGATGAAACTGAGAGCCACTTCAGTTTTACTAAAAAAAAAAAATGAATGAGCTATAATATCCAGAAAGAATGGCATAATTACGTATTTATAAATATAAATAACATCTTTTGTTAAAGAGGTTTACCAGTCTTCTGAATACTGAAATGGAAACTGTATTTTAAACATTTCCAGTTGACCAGTAGACACATTTTTAAGTATCCTGGAATTAATTAGAAGTGTTCAAATTCCCATGGTGTTCATATAGGCATGCTTCTACCCTGTGTTTTTATGAAGTGTTGTCATATTTCTGATGTTTTTCACCCTATCTTAGTTGCCCAGAGTCACATGGCAAGTAGGAAGCTATATAAATTGAAAAATATAGTACTGTATTTCATTCCTTTCACAATATAATTGGTATTACTTGGTGATTTTTGAACTGAGATCAACCTTATAGTGTACTAACCACTCTTGGTACTTTTCCAGAGGTCAATTAAACAACACACTTATGCCAGAAAAAATCCACTCCATTGTCAATGAACTTAGAATAATGCATTCCACAAAAGTTCAGCAATTTTTCCTGTGACTTACTCAACTTTGAAACCATTTCTTCTTTCTCAATAATATTGTGTACATTTCCACACAATAATACAACACCTTTTTGGGACCAGCTCTGGATCTGATCTTATGATGTCATTGTCTTGAGGAACTGAGTCAATCTATTTCTGTCTCTTTTAATTTACAAGAAACCCCAACTACATTGGAATTTTATTATGAATCGTTGCAGTTCTCCAAATCCAGTATGTTGGCAGGAATTTGTACTTCTCTCTCCCCACCCACACATCAGAAATTCTGGAGTTTGTATCTTCTGTATGCAATGTTCAGAATTTTTCCACCACTATCCCCAATCTATCAAAGTCCTAATCCAGTGCCTGGAGGTGGTTGGAGTATGAATGGGAAGGAACAACTCAACCCTTGCAAGCCCGAATGCCTATAGATGTTTGGATTATTTGGATCTGGGGACTTTCTAGCTTTAGCGCCAAATAAAAAAGTTGCCAGTCCCATTTGGGATTGGTCTGGTGTATAATTTGGGGAATTGAGGACTGCCCACCCTGCTCAAATAGCATATGGCTAGAATGGCATAGATTCATTTTGTAACCAATTGTCCCCATTCTTGGACTAGGAAGCCATGCTGACAGTCACTCATGCTTTAGTCACCTCTTGTGTGGACTATTGCAACACAGTCTACATGGCCTTGAAGATCACTTGGAAGTTGCAACTTGTTTAGAGTGCAGTAACACAAGTAGCTATGAGCATTTCATATTATACCCAGGCATCTCTCTGCTTTTTGACCTGCACCATTAGTTTCCAGATGCAATTCAAAATGCTGATTCTCATCTATAAAACTCTTTGTGGGTTATTTGAGAGTCCATCTGTGATATCTGCTAATCCTATACAATTGGATAGAGTTGGCATAATTTATTGGTGATTAAACAGTAATACCTGGTGGGACTGAGGAAGCATGTCTTCCCTGTTATGGTGTCTGGAATGTCTCCCATAAAAATTATGCAGCCCGTGCCTTGATTTTGTTTAAGCAAGCTTTGAAGACCTGGCACTTCTCTCTGGCCCTGGATTAAGCAGTGTGACGAGTCCCTTTTAGGGGAATATGGAAAAATGGGTTATGTATCTATTGCTCTCTGAGATGTCAATCTTTTTGTTGTTGATGGCAGTAATGATAATAATGTTTTGTATTTAATAGTGTATTGCTACCAGCACCATTATGGAATTGGGTGTTTTACAAATTTGACAAATAAATCAATAAAGTAATGGCCATAGTAAGATGCAGTGATAGTCAGAGCTATTGGAAAAAGCAACAGGGTACACAATCGCTAACACAGTCACTTTATTTTCACAAGTTTACAGGGGTAATACTGTCTGTGGGGGCAAGGCCAGGGGGAGACGAAATTGTGATGTTATAATGCAAGAGTCCCATTCCATTTCTTAAGTGTAGCATGACTACTCAACTGCCAAATGCATACAGATAAAAATGTGTCTATGGGACACTGTTCAGCCCTTTATTTAATTTTTTTTTTTTTGCAAGAGTGGAAACAAGGAGATTTTTGTTATTCCAAGACCCTGATACTTGAGAACACTGACTAGAGATGTTCTTTGCATTCTCCTACTATTATATGTATGTATCTTAATACTACAACTACTACTACTACTACTACTACTACTACTACTACTACTACTACTACTAATAATAATAATAATAATAATAATAATAATAATAAAGTTGGAAGGGACTTTGGAGGTCATCTAGTCCAACCCTCTGCTCAGGCAGGAAACCCTACATCATTTCAGACAAATGGCTGTCCAGTCTCTTCTTAAAAACTTCCAGTGCTGGAGCATTCACAGCTTCTGGAGGCAAGCCACTCCACTGGTTAATTGTTCTCACTGTCAGGAAGTTTCTCCTTAGTTCTAGTTCTACATGTTCTCTTTCTTTCAGAGTCTAAAGTAAAGACAGTTTGTATGAGCTTTGACTACTTCATAGCAAACACATTTCATATATGTTATTAAAACTAACAATTAATTAATCATCAGGTTTAACTCTGATCGCTGATGATTTGCTATTAGTCCTTCCTCTGGATTAAGATAGCCAAAGGTTTATCACTCGGTTTACTCCAGCCAATATAAGTGAAGGTTGTCGCTAAATTTCAGAGGAAGAAAAAAGGAAGAAAGAAATAAAATTGTTTCAACCATCTATTTGTGGGAGATTTTGAAGGAGGGGTAACTAATTTGAATAATATAGCAACAACTTTATGGACATTATTTATGGAGATTATTATGCTTCCTCTAGTTTGATTTTGACAGTGCTTGATAGTGATAGTTCACATGCTTCTTGTTTCTGTAGGATACGGTGTGCTTTTATTTCTTTCACAGTTATGCAAAGCCAGAACAAACTATGGCAAATTACAAGGCAAAGGAAGAGAAGGATGTGGTCAAATACTTTAGTGACGTTAACTTCCCTCTCTGAGGAGAAGGGGAAGCCACTGCGTACCTTCTCTTCGGCTACCCCAGCAGCATAATGGAGTATCTTCGATCACTCTTTGGGAGCCTGCAACAGGCTTTGGTTAGTGGCACCCTATCATCTCTCAGGCTTGGGTGGAATCCAGAACCTCTGGTTTATCTTAAGGGGGTTTACTGGCTGTCTGTACTAGCAGTCCCTGTTCAGTGTTTCTTTCTCTTCACCCCGTTTTCAGGATTTTGTTTCCTCCTTCACTACTTACCTTTTTGGAAATGAAACTCATCCAGGAGCAGAAGAGCCAAGAAGTGGAAAGGAGATGAAGAACTTAAGAAGCCACCATGATTCTGAAGTGGAGACAACGTATTCTGGGTAACAAGAATCTGATGAGGAATAATTATTTCCGTTGGAATTTGTCTGGTAGCTCTGAGGTGCAGTGACGGTTGGAGTAGAATTATCTCTTTTGCAATTAGATTTACTTCTCCTTCTCCTCCTGCCTTCTTCTGCAGGGATGTTTCTCCAAGGGAGCATCTGAAGGTCAATGAAGGTCCTTTTACAACGGAGGTAGGTGTTGGATGAGAGGAGGTGGAGCAAAATCCTTCTGTGCTCCACCTTTCCTCCAACAAAGTCCTTTCTTTTCAGATAACCCCACTCAATCAGGAGATCCAAGGAACACCAGAAACTGCAGTTACTGTTGATGAGGCAATGGAGTCTTTTCTCAGGTCTTCCAAATTTCCCAACAGATGTGAGGGACAAGAAGAATCTGAACAAAAGTTCTCAGGTGACTGAAACTTCTGGAATGTTGATGATGCTATATTGTGAGGAATGGAGGATTCCCACAGCAGGAAATCTATTGATTTTTTTTTTTGCTAGTGGATTTTCATGATCCTTTCCCTATGGACTTTACAACAGCATAGATGGTAGCATTAAATTAAACCAGCATCTGTCTTTCTCCATTCAAAAAACTATGTCAGACAAAAACATACACTTCTGAAAGATACAAAATGAAGTAATTACATTTAAAGAAACTGGAAAATAATACATTTAAAAATATTTGAAAAACTAACATAACTAAAAGATAATATAAGGAAAAGTTGTATTAAAACATCTCTAACATTTTTAAATTATGGAAGACATGGGCAAAGACATATACAGTGTTAACAGAAGTGGCTAACGTTTTCCTACAATTTTTCTTCAATGTTTTTCAAGTTCAAAAACCTTTTGAACACATTTGTAAACACACATACAAGGACAGGAAATAGGAGTATACAGCTCTGTGGATTGTGCAAGCTTGTTTTACAATCCACATTAGTAGGACAATCTTTCAAGTTCAAAAGCCTTTTGAACACATTTGTAGATTGTCCTACTAATGTGGATTGTAAAACAAACTTGCACAATCCACAGAGCTGTATACTCCTATTTCCTGTCCTTGTATGTGTATATATAGGAAGTTAATTTGTTTTTCAGTCATGAGTTTTGCACATGAACTGATTTTTTTTTGTGTTTATTGGCAAATACCTGTGACTTGAATAAGGTGCTTTCAGACTAGTTTGTTATTCTATTTTATCATGCATAATTTAATATGCATGAGAAGAGGAGGATCAAATTTCATAATATTCACTTGTAATCAGCTTCTCATGTGGTTTTTCTCCCATCATTTTCTGAGCACTCTCATATATAATCCATTAAAGAGGAAAGGATTAAATAGCATAGTGGTGTTTATTCACAGATAACAATAGGATCTGGGAATATCCTCTTTATTTAGCATTACATTTAGATTAATTTATATTTTTCTCAGAGCTCAGGACACCAGAAATGAAGGCTCCCTCTCATCGTTACACAAAAACTGGGAGATAATTATACTGGCCAATGTATGTGCATGTGTGCCTCTTTATGTGACAATGATTGTGCTGTCATTGTATTGACAGAGATGTTGACTTTAAATGGTCCTCTGTAATTTCAGATTATCTTGTGATCTTTAAGGATGAGGTCTGTTTTTCCCTCTTAGCTGGTTTTCACATTTTGCATTTATGTATATTTTTTAAAATGAATGTATTAGCTTCCCTGGAAAGAAAGGTAAAACATTTTTTTCCACATACAGCCAGAAAAACATGTGAGAGAGATGATTTCTATCCTTGGTTGCTCTTCTCTATGGTATGTGCTTCAGATCTTCCTGAGTTAGCTTTTTGACTCCAATAATTCCCAGCTAACATAGCCTTTCACTATGCTAGCTATGAGTTATGTTAAAGGCTGGTTGCAAAGGGCTGGAAAAAGACTAATATAATATATGTCCTGCTTTTTAAATGCCCAGAGAGAAGAGGACATTTATTCTATACTCTGCTTCATTAGGATAGCATTCATTGGCCATACTCAATCAGGATATTGGAACTACTGTTTTAAATTCTTGGATTCTCAGTCTTGGGGAGGAACTCAAGATCAATGATAAATGTTCTTTCTTATTTTCACCCCACAGTGTCTTCTATAGGCCTCAGTGATACCCCCAAAATAGGATCAACAACACCTATGACTGATAGCATCCAACAGACACACAAGGAGTCACCAACTAAGACTGGGAGACTCTATCAAAGAAAATCTGAAGAATCTGCCTTGATGGAAGCTGCACCAGAAGACATGATAGAAGAGTTGGCAGATGCAGTTTGTAGTCAATACTGGAAGCCAGATGAACTTTTGGCAGAAAGAAGAGAACTTGGGCAACTGGAAGAGGCAGAAAAGACAGAGATGAGTCAAGAAGCAGAACAAGACAGAACTGTATTAGCTGAGGGGATTAAGCAAGGAGCACCAAATTGGCCAGCATTTGTAGAACAAAAAAGAGGGCCTGACGGAGCAGAGTGGACGGGGGAAATTGTTCAAGATAGTTTGGAAGAGAGGGTTGAGATTATGGGTAATCAACAATTAGAGGTTGAGAAAGACCAGGAAGAAGGAAAGGTGGCTGAAGAAGAGCAGGGAGAGATAAGTACAGCAGTGTTAAGCCAGGCAGAGAATAAGGTACTTGAAGAGGAAAGAATGATTGGAAAAAGTCAGCTGTGGGATGAAGAAGCAGAAAAAATCACAGAAGACCAGGAAAAAGAGTTGGAAAAAATGTTGTGGAATGAGGGAATTCAACAAAAGCTCCTAGGCTTGACACAGGATAAAGAGGAAAAGCAGAGAGGACAAGAAGAGGCAACATGGACTAGGGGAACTCAACAAGATAGTTTGGAGGAGATGGCCAAGATGGCAAGAGACCAGGAGTTAAATGTTGAGAAGGATCAGGAGGAAGATACAAAAGTGGATGGGAATAAAAAGGTAAAAACAAGTGTGACAGCAGAAACTGAAGGAGACCAGGTAAAGATGCTAGAAGAGAAAGGGAAAGGTGAGAGAAGTTGGAGTTTGGAAGAACAGATAGAAGAAACTGAAGAGGGGACGGAGAGAAAGCTGGATGAAAAAGAAAAAGGACTAGAGGGAGTCACTTGGACAGATAAACTTAAATATGATGCACTAAATGTTACAATAATGAAGACCCAGCATTTAGAATTTGAGAAGGAATTGGGAGAAGGCATAGAGATGGACACAGGCCACCAGATAATGAGAGAGATAGAAATGAAGAAGGAAGATGTTCAGCAACCACTGCTGGACAAGGCAGAGATGGAAGCAAGCCAGAAGAAGACATTAGAAGGGGAAGAAAAGAAGAGATATTTTCACTGGGAGCCCAAGGAAACTGAGGTTATGACAGAACAGAAAAGGGAGGCATCAGGATTGGAAAAGGAGGGAAATTGTAAGCAGGGAGATTTACCAGAGAAAGGAAAGACAGAAGAAGATCTGAAGCAGGAAGCAAAAGAATCTGTGAAAAATGAGATACACACTACAGGGGAAAAACTAGAACAGCAAACAAAAGAAGAATGGTGGGAAAGTAACCAGGAAGACCAGATATTGCTAGATACTTGTGGTTTTAGTGAAGACATACTAGAAGAGGCTGAGACTACAGCAGGTCAATCAAGTCAACTGGGAGAGATCACCAAGAACCTGGAGCATCCAACCTCTCTTGATAAAGATCTACCTGGACCCAGAACTTTCCCACATGATGTAAGCATAATTATGAAAGAAAGTGGAGCATGAACATAGTCAGGAGATTGAAGTAATCATATCCATCTCTCTTCTGCAGGTCACAACACTGGATAGCAGTGCCCAGAAGGAACGGGTGTTGCTACGTCGTAAGAGCTCCATTCGACGAGCACCCAGCTTAAAGAAACCAAAAACATCACCAGAGGCTCCAACACAAGAGACAAATATAGTTGAAGATGATTCATCTTTATTGGAAGTACCAAAGAGACAAAACCCAAGATTATCTGGGTAAATCTCACCACCACATCCAATAGTAATTGAATAGTAGATATTAGTGTTGTCATCTTGAATTTTGTCTTAATCTACCCATTTATTTTGCTTCCCCAGATTTGGGCCTATGCACCCCAATATGATGGCTGAACTTCAGATGCGCCTGCAAAAGCCAAAGTGACTTGAGGTTCAAAGAGCTTTATCAAGTAATGAACTTGCATGTTTTTGGCTCTATCTTGGGTCAAGGCACCATAACCAATAATTCTGAAAGCAATGGAGGCATCATCTCTATTTTCTCTAAAAACTTAGTAAATTATATGTCCATTCTAAATTAAATGGTTAGTGAGGAAACATTATTTATCACATGAATAGAAAATCTCAGAAGTATTGCTAGGATATATCAGCAGATTTGATATCTTTATCTCTTCACCTGAAATGGGGAACTCCAGCATAGCTTTCATTCTATGAACAGTGGACACAGAGCCGTGGTGGTGCAGTGGTTAGAATGCAATACTGCAGGTTAATTCACTGCTCACTCCAGGAGTTCGATTCTGAATTGCTCAAGGTTGACTCAGCCTTTCATCCTTCTGATGTCAGTAAAATGAGGACCCAGATTGTTGAGGGTAATATGCTGACTCTGTAAACCCCTTATAAAAGCTGTAAAGCAGGGCTTTTCAAACGGTGGTATGCGTACCACCAGTGGTACTTTAGCATATGGCAGGTGGTACACGACCCTTAGCCAAGTGTAGTGGGGGAGGGAACGAGCTAAAGGCCTGGAGGAGATCAGCTGGAGCTGCAGTGCTTGGCAGAAGCCCCAGGATCTGCGCTCACAGCTAAATGCTGATTGGAGCTTCCCGCGCACCCGGAAGAGAAAAGGAGGAGGAGGGTGGAGAGAGGAGAAGTTATAAAAGCATGTTTTGGCAGGAGAGGGAGAGAAAAAAAAACATGGAGAAAGAGAGAGGAGACGAGGCTTTTGTTAGCGAAGCAGTGAGGAGAGAGCGAGCAAGCGGTCTTTGTGAGCGAAGGATGAGTGATTGAGTGAGAGGCTTTTGTGAGCAAAGTGTGAGTGAATGAGTGAGTGAGAGGCCTTTGCGAGCAAAGTGTGAGTGAGCAAGTCAGAGGCTTTTGTGAGCAAAGTGAGTGAGTGAGAGAAAGAGCGAGGGGCTTTTGCGAGCAAAGTGAGTGAGAGCGAGAGGCTTTTGCAAGCAAAGTGTGAGTGGGATAGCGAATGAGTGAGGGGCTTTTGCGAGCAAAGGGTGAGTGAGAGAGAACAAGGGGCTTTTGTGAGCAAAGGGTGAGTGAGAGCAAGCGAGAAGCTTTTGCACGCAAAGTGAGTGAGTGAGAACGAATGAGAGGCTTTTGCGAGCAAAGTGTGAGCGAGTGAGTGAGAGCGAGAGAGGCTTTTGTGAGCAAAGTGAGTGAGTGAGGTTTTGCGAGCAAAGTATGAGTGAGTGAAAGAGAGGCTTTTGCGAGCAAAGTGTGAATGAAAGAGCAAGGCGCTTTTGCGAGCAAAGTGTAAGTGAGAAAGCGAGTGAGGGGCTTTTGCAAGCAAAGGTTGGGGGGCTTTTGTGAGCGAAGGGTGAGAGAAAAAGGGAAAAGTGAGGGGGAGAAGGGAAAAAGAAAAGAAAAGGCATTGTCTTCTGACTTCCTCTGTTGCAGTAGAAGGAAGCATTAACGTTGAACACCAACTTTTTACTTTTCCATAATATTATAAATTAGCCATTTCTATAACAACAAATGAATCTAACCAGTAAAGCCCAAAATCCCCCCCCCTTTTTTTAGTCATCAGGTTTTTGACACCTTGCTAAATAGTGGTGATACTCAAATATTGTCATGTCCTAAAAGTGATATAATCTGTGAAAAGGTTGAAAAGCCCTGCTGTAAAGCACTATGAAGTGATATATATGTCTAAGTGCTAGTGCTATTGCAATTTTATTCATATCATACTTTGGGGGGGGGGGGGAGGAAGTAATTCAGTGGAAACTACCTAACAATTTTGGGAGGGCTATCTTTAGATTCTACCATACGGTATGGAGTCTATCCTCACCATGCATCAGTTTAAACTCATTCTTTATTTTACAAGAATTCAGTGAACCTAAAACATGTCTGAAGAGATTATTGTACAACTTGAATCCAAGAAGTGTGTGCTGATTCATGATAAGCTACTATGATAGTATGTGGGAAAGAGCTTGGAAGACTAGACCAAGGGATGCTGCCAAGGGGACAGTCAGATAAGAGAGAGCAGAGCCCTCATCTGGATAATGGGCAGGGCAAGAGGAGGGACCCTCCCTAGTTTCTTGGGCTGTAAAGGAGAGAGGAGAGATGTATTTTGTAACTTGTAAGATTCTGTCAATGTAACTTTACAATTAAGTACAATTAGCTCATCTGGTTGTGATTCCTATCTGGTTTATGCTGCAAGGCCAACAGCTAAAGTTACGGAGGAGAAGTGGCAGGGAATGGCATGTACCATATTTCCTCTTTACCCCATCTGTCAGAGTTTTCCCATATTGCCCCTCCCACCACAACCTTTCTCCCTACCCAGGTTAGGATTTAGGCAACAAATTGAAAAGATAACAAATATTTGACTGCTCTACTTTTGCTTCCAGGAGAAGATAGAGATGCTTGTAGGATTTTCTATCTGCAGGTTTTCACCCAAATAACTTGGCCTAAGCTTGAATGTAATGGACTTTTGTGAAAAAGACTTCAGTTGAGATAACTACCTAATTGGGCTGGTCTTGCAATCATTTATTTTTCAAGTGTGAAAATGCTGTTCTCAGGCCAACGGCTACAGGACCACTTTCCTGGATCCAGTTGAAGACATTTTTACATTTTCATGCTTGGGAATGATGGTTTTATTTTTACTGTACTTATTTTATTCAACTTTAATTGTTACTTTTCATTTGGTTTTCAGTTTTTGTTTTCACCATCGGTTTTTTTTTTTTACTTTTAATTGGTTTAAGAATAAGATGACGTTCTTAGTATTTAAGCTAAGTTTTTTTGGTTATCTTTTATTGTATTACTGCAATACAGTAAATGTAAATGTAAATACAATAATGTATTATTGGGATACAATAAAAATTTGCTAGCTTTGTCAGTCAACTGGCCTTGAATTCTTAAATAAATCAGTAAAATGCAGTTGTCAAACCATTTGCTTAAAGACTCATCAGTAATTCCTCACAAAGAGATAATTAATGAGTTGTTTGTCACTTGTATGTAAACATAGGACAAATGAACCCTGGCAATTTTTTTTCCTGCTGCATCCCTATAACGCAGGGGTGTCAAACTCAATTTCATTGAGGGACGCATCAGCATTGCGGTTGCCCTCGGGGAGGGGCTGGAGGTGTGTGGCCAGGGTGGGTGCGGCCTACTGGGTGGGCGTGGATGGAGTGGGTGTAGCCTACTGGGCGGGCATGGCCAGCTCTACATCGTTCACATCAAGGGTGTCTGTGGGGGCCTGGGCAGGATTGGGACAGATCTGAGGGTCTCTGGCAGAAGGGGATGGGATCGGGGCAAGCGCCAAGGCATGGTCCATTTCTTCATTCCTCACAAAGGGTGACACCTCCCCAGCATGCACCCAGGGGGCTGGGCCGACACGGCAGGGGCTGGTTCCTCGCTGTTTCTAGACAGTCTTGTGGAGCTAAGACTGAATGCGTTTCAGGATAGATGGCCACCACAAAATTGTACATTGGCTCCTAGCCGGCCAGGGCCAAGGCAGTGGGGGCCGTTCTCTCACTGTTTCCAGGATGGCTTTGCGGGCCACATGAAACCACTTCACAGGCCGCATCCGGCCCCCGGACCTTGTGTTTGACATGTCTGCTATAACGCCTTCAGATTTCCAACTCATATCTGATGGAGCCTAAAGCAATACTGGATTTGTTCCAGTGTTAAAGTTGGTTTTCCCCCTTAAGTGGGCAATAGCCCATGGTAGTTTTTAGATGAGTGCTATCAGGTGGTCTTCAATTCATTCATCCATTCTGCCGGTGGTGGTGACTTTGGAGGTGGGGTCAGCTTGGCATCTATTGGCCACTTCAGGCTGGTGAGGGCACTTCGTATATCCTATGACCCTGTCCAATGTCCTCCAGAATTGTTCTAGTTTGGGCAATAGGAAAGTCCAGCTCTTTCAAACTGTACTTTTCCTCTTTAGCATCCACTTCTTTAATCCAGAGGTTGATTAATCTCCAGGGTAGGAGAAGTGTTGGTTCCTTCAGTAGCTCCCCGGGATCTAAGAAGATGTTTATGGTGGTTTTGAAGGAACCATCTTTTCCTTTTTACCTGAGGATTTCTTTGCAATTTTTCATTTGAGGTTTACTAATTAGGGAGTTGCTATTTAAATTTTCTATCTCAAAATTAAATCTAGCAGCTTATTTAAAGGCAATGCTAATAATAAAACTCTTTCTGAACATTTCTACAAGGTCAAAGGTAACAAACCTTATAAGTATAGATCTCAGCACTAGAAGGACAAAGTCTACGGATTCTATAGATAACTATATATAGTTATCATACTTTCTTCACCATAGAAGGGAGTTCTGAGAGGAGAAAGAGAAAGCCTGAAGAAAGGGGTCAAGATAGAGGCCTTAGGAAAGTCAGTAGAGTTTCACAATGGAATTAGGACCAAACAGGAAACCTCTACCAGGTGAATTCAGCCAGCAACAAGAGATTTTCTTTTGCTGATGAATATGAGTTAAATAGATATAATCAGGCTTTTTTTTGTCATAGAACACCCAGAACGGAGTTCCGGCACCTTTTTTGGATGGAACCTTGTAGGGTAGGCAAGGCAGGTTGTATGACATGTGTGGATATAATACAATGTTATATACTGCTTAAATATGTTGACATTGGATTTTAGGTTAAAATACAGACAAATTGACTGATCTTCGAATCCTAGTGGACAATCACTTAAATATGAGCCAGCAGTGTGCTGCAGCTGCCAAAAAAGCCAACACAGTGCTAGGTTGCATTAACAGAGGGATAAAATCAAGATCACGTGAAGTGTTAATACCACTCTACAATGCCTCACACTTAGAATATTGCATCCAGTTTTGGTCACCACGATGTAAAAAAGATGTTGAGATTCTAGAAAGAGTACAGAGAAGAGCAACAAAGATGATTAGGGGACTGGAGGCTAAAATGTATAAGGAACGGTTGCTGGAATTGGGTATGTCTACTTTAATGAAGAGAAGAATGAGGGGTGACATGATAGCAGTGTTCCAATATCTCAGGGGTTGCCACAAGGAAGAGGGAGAAGCTATTCTCCAAAGCACCTGAAGGCAAGACAAGAAGCAACGGATGGAAACTAATCAAGGAGAAAAGCAACCTAGAACTAAGGAGAAATTTCCTGACAGTTAGAACAATTAATCAGTGGAATAACCTGCCTCCAGAAGCTGTGAATGCTCCAACACTGGAAGTTTTAAGAAGAGACTGGAAAGCCATTTATCTGAAATGATATAGGGCTTCCTGCCTGAGCACAATGACCTCCAAAGTCCCTTCCAACTTTTTTTTTTATTATTATTATTATTATTATTATTATTATTATTATTATTATTATTATTATTATTATTATTATTATTATTATTATTATTATTATTATTATTATTATTATTATATGACATGACAAACTCTCTTTTGATCAACCAATTAATCAGGCAATCAAATTTAAATAATACTTTTATTAACCAAAATTTAAAAGCATGAAATGACCAGTTCAAGCTTAGAAAAGGCAGTATCACTCAAAACATATATTTTATGGTGTATGCATATTTACTCAGATCTGTTTTAGAAAATTTCAGAATCATTTATCCATAATCCATTGGGATTATATATTATATATCTTTCTGTAGATACCCTCATGATTCTCTGCCCCATTTGAATAAATAGCCATTTAAAAAAAATAGATGAAGCAAAGTAGTAGCCACCCATATTTTTATGGATAAACACAATATTTAAAATTCCCTGCAAACTTGTTGCCAATTCTTTCTGACCTTTGGAAAAAAAATACTTTTATTTTATCACATTGTTTTGAGAAAGTGCATTCTGTAAACAGTTGCTTATGTAAACCTAGCCAAAACACTGCTTTAACAAATAAGTTAAAATAATAAAATACTTAGAAAAATAAATAAATATATAAAATAGATATTTTAGATAATTTACAGAACAGTATTGTCACTGAAATACCAGGATGCCCGCATTCCTTGGCTGTTTGGAATAGGGCGATGGGGTTTAAAACAGGAAATGTTAAGATTAGAAAAACTTAGAAGGTGAAGCCACTTTGGGCACCCTCATCCTGAGCATCAAAAAATCTCGTGCAACACGAACCAGGAAGCTTTCGAGAGAACGAAGGACAATATATACTTCTTGGCGGTTCGTCCACTGACTGTGGTGTTGAAGGATCTGAAGAGTTGATTCAGGCTGGATATTAGATGACAGGCCCCAAAGTGTAATCTATAGGAAAATGAAAGCTGAATAACATGGCCAAAGCCAAAGGATGCTTTTCCCTCATCTGAGCTCCCCCCAAAACAGGCAAGCTACCTGGTAATCCACTTGATGACCAAGATCTCGGAGGTTAATATCAATATCTTCAAACTGAGAGGAGAATTCAGAATTTTCTTTGATTGCTTCAAAGTTCCTCAGCTGTTGTACCAATCTGTGATAAAATGAAAGGGTCTTGGCTATCTGCGACAGGCGTCTGGCATCCTGAAGGGAAGAAAGGGTTAGAACGCAAATACAACAAAGTCAACTGCTGAAGTATCCAAGCATTATTGTCAAAATGGGCAGCTCTGAAAAATATTAGGGAAGCTCCCGGCCATCCATCTCAACAAACACATTAAGAATTGGAGACAGGAGGAACGTCACTCTAGCAAGAAAATGTTACTTGTGTTAGTTTACCATATTCTGGCTGAAAATGGTTTGCTTAGTTCCATACCTATATTGCCTGGTGAAATGTACCACACAATTTACTAAGCATTTTTGATCCAAAAATTTCCATTCCAAGCAAAACTAGTCAGAATACAGAAAAAAAAAGTTGGAAGAGACCTTGGAGGTCTTCTAGTCCAACCCCCTGCTCAAGTAGGAAACCCTATACCATTTCAGACAAATGGTTGTCCAATCTCTTCTTTAAAAACCTCCAGTGTTGGAGAAGTTGTGAAAATCCACAGCTTCTGGAGAATTATTTTAATCAGTACTAAAATAATTTACAACAGAAGTGTCCATGACAAATCTTAATAACATCAAAATGTTAAGTGCATCAAAACATTATTATGCAAATGAATCAATTGTAGTAGCGTCATGACATCTGTTTCAAGTACAATACGTCTCACAATATTTGAATGATAACACCACTATGTGCATGTCTATATTTGTTTTTTCTTGCTCTCCCTGTGGATGCTATGGTTTACAAGAGTGCATTTATTAATACACAACTGTAATTAGAGGCTTCCAAAAATTGATGAACTGCAGCTGTGATGTTGGCATTGGTTATTATCCAATAAGCACCTAGAATACTGATGCTGGCTAGTTGTGACTTTTGGGCAGTCCTTGCATGCAACACTCTTGACTTGTTTAGAACTCAAGTTCTCTGTGAGGGTTACTTAGCATTGATTGCGCTATAAATAAATTACAATTGTTAGCATTCTTTGTGGAGACAGTGAGTTTGATAGAAGAACAGGTTAAATTATATAAGTTGGTGAATAAGTACTGCCTTCTTTCCAGCTGTTAAGTATCCTGTCTTCCTAGCCAATTGAATCCATTATTTCTGGCTTCCAACCATCAAGTTGCCTTATTAAAAGGAACATGAACGTGTTCCTTTTTCTCTAGGCACTGGTGGATGATTACCAGTAAGAGTGGAACTTTACAGTGATACTTCAGTTGCCTTCATTCAAAGGCCTTGTACCAAATTTGGCACTTTGAGAGCACCATGTTAAAAACTGATGTACTCTGACTTTTGAAAGATGAGACCTATCATAGCTAGACTTCAAAAATCACAAGGCTACTAGATCAGTGGTTCTCAACCTTTTTAATGCCGTGACCCCAACCGGTCGTAAGTCAAGGACTAAACCGGTCGTAAGTCGAGGACTAAACCGGTCGTAAGTCGAGGACTACCCAACCGGTCATAAGTCGAGGACTAAACCGGTCGTAAGTCGAGGACTACCCAACCGGTCGTAAGTCAAGGACTTTCCCTGCCCGGGAGCGCCGCGCATGCGTGGTTCTGCCCCCTGCACCGGCCGAGGCGTAGCTGGCAAGCGGCAGAGACGGAGCAGGCCGACCACCAGCTGGCCCAGCCCAAGGGAGGTAAGGCACCCGCCGGAAAAGGGGAAAAAATGGCGGACAAAAAATGGACAAAAAAAATGGCGGACAGCCTTGCTTGGCGACCCCCGTGAAATGGTCGATCGACCCCAAATGGGGTCCCGACCCACAGGTTGAGAACCACTGTACTAGATGGTGATGGAGATATTGAAAATTAATTCATTGCAGGACATCCAGCCTTTTTGTAGCCCCAATACACCAGGCTTAATCTGGATTCAACCTGATGTATTTCGTGATTGGTGCTTGTAATAAATGCCTTTCTTTCTTTCTTTTTTTCATTAGCCTTTGGAAGAACTTTGAGAATTTTATTGAATAAAATTATTACAAAACGCAAAGGTAAATTATATATATTCTTACTGAAAGAGAGATCCATGTGTGAAAATCAATGCTGGTTGAGGGAAGGTGCTTCAGGTGGGAAATAAAAGGGACCTCAGCTCCAGATAAACGGTCCAAAAGCTGGAAAAAGAGAGTGAATATGACTGTAAATAGATTTTCAACCAACCTTGTAGCAAAGCATGAAGAAGAAGCATATATTACTTGACTAGAGAATGGTGTGATAACTCACAGCTATCACTCCAAGAATGTTGAACCAGAATGTCTCCTTTTTACTGCTGGATTCCTGAGGGAGGTGGGATAAAATGCAAAGGGCCAATGTTTCAAGAGATCTCCAACAGTTAACCCAAAGGGGAGGTTTTGAGTGATAAGGACATGTGATACTAAAGCTCTGCATCTTTAATCAAGTACAGTATATTTTCCAAGAGTCAATATCTGCTTTAAATACAGATAGTCCTCAAGTTACAACCTTAACGGAGCCTGCCCATTATGGTTGTAAATTATGAGGATTGTAAAAAGGTGGTTGTTAAGCTAACACTGGGATGGGTAAGGAAACCCATTATTCAGTCTGAATGCATTTTTTCCAAAAAACAGATTCAGATTCTGTTTTTCAAAGAAAACGTCATAAAAAGGCAAGCACATAGCTGCAGGCTGCTGCAAATGGCCATAAATGCAGGCTGGTTGGTGAGCACCCAGAATTCAGTCATATGGACTCTGGATAATTGAACTTTGAATCCGGGTTATAAATAGTTTTTTTCAGATCGGTCATAATCGTAAACGGTTATTAAGTGACCAGTCATAAGTCAAAATCTACCTGTAACAGTGGCGGCTACAGATATTTATAGTAACTCAGGTATGGAAGAAGAAGCACTGTTTTATGAAGAGCAAGGTTTTTGTTTTTTGTTTTACTCAGTGCAAAAAAAAAAGCAAATGTGAACTGTTCTTTTAAAGGTAAGCAATAAATGTTGGCTTCTCAGTCTCATCTACTGAGTCTATCTGCCTTGTCCTACATTTCACATTACTAATTCCCAGTTACAAATTTCACATTACAAAACAGAAAAGTTTCAGATTTGGAAAAAAAGATTTGATGGAGGCAGCAGCAGCAGAAAAAAAACAACAACTCAAAATTTCAGTTTCTCTACCATTCCTTTAAGATGGTGATGTACATTATGGACTGGTTCTGTCTGATTTTAACAACAATCCTATGTGGTAAGATTGCCTGGGAGACAGTATGTGAAGATTTGAGCCCAAAATGGAAAATACAGGTAGTCCTTGACTTATGACCACAACTGAGCCATTGCTGAGCAAGACAGTTATTAAGTGAGTTCCCCCCCCCCCCCCATTTTGCAACCTTTCTTCCCACAGTTGTTAAATGAATCAATTCCAAGAATTTCCCAGTCATTCCCTAGGGACAAGCTCTGGAAGTGATGAATGCCTTGGGGAAAAAAGCTGACAGAGAAGGAATGTGAATGCATAGATAAGAAAATGAAGAAAACTTGTGCAAGAAAAAGAAGCACAAGTGTAGAGTTCCTTCGCAAAATGTTACATCACTGGCCTCTAGGGGCCAAATAATAAACTACTGAAAACATGCATCCAAATGTTGAATTTTCCAATAGAAAGGACTTTTTTTACAGCAACACTCTGACTTTGAAACAGTGTTCAATGGTACCTTTTAAACTGACTTTTGGATGCATCATAGCACTTCTCTCAATCAAATCTTATAAGAAAAAAAACACAGCCATAAAAGTACTGTGAAATTATTTCCTGCACCCAAATCTAATTTTTGTCCGGAAAGTTTCTCACATTTTATTCACCTTTCATTTAGAAGACAAGATGATAATCACATTTTTTTAAAAATGTATTATTTAGATCTTATTAGTCAGTTGCTCAGTTTTATTGATTTGGCCAATTTATTAATCAATACTAGAAGTAATATATTTAAAACATCTGTTTAGTTCAATGAGGGTGGAAATTTTGTAAGTTTCTCCACTTATTCTCCACATATCCACATATGCTTCACATATGTATGGCCAGTTCTTTGGTCTCCCCTCAGCCATGGAAGATCGTTGAATGAGCCTGGGCCAGTCATTCTATCTTGACTCACCTCAGAAGGTTGTTATTGTGGGTGAAAGAGGCAGTGGTGGGATTCAGCTGGTTCGCACCAGTTCGGCACAACCGGTAGCTAAATTTTGCTGAGTTCGGAGAGCCAGCTGAATGTGCACTGCTTCCAGAAGTCCAGTCTAGGCCTGGGAGGCCTGGAGGAGGCCTCCCAGGCCTAGAACGGCCCACCGGAAATGCATGGATATCACTTCCGGAAGTCCGTTCTAGGCCTCAGAGGCCTGGAGGAGGCTTCCCAGGCCTAGAATGGCCCACCAGAAGTGCATGGATGCCATTTCCTTAAGTCTGTTCTAGGCCTCGGAGGCCCAGGCTTGCATCCTATAAGAGAACCGGTTGTTCAGATATTTGAATCCCACCACTGGAAAGAGGAGGAGTGAATGTGATATATGACACCTCAAACCCCTTTACAAAGGGTGGGATATAAATCAAACAAATAAGTCAGAAGTTGCACATTGGGGATGGGGGTGAACAACGAGAGAATAAGATTCTACTCTACCCTCTGATTAAAATTGGAATTTTCAGGAGGAATTTTTTTCCCCAGATTCTGATTTCTAGAGGAATGATAAAAGTTAGCTAAAAAGCTATGCAACATTTCTTTTCTCTCTATTTGTTTTAAATAATCTTTCCCCCCCTGGAAATTATTGTTTCTATACAGGATCATTCCTTATGTGCTTTACACGGATCAAGACCTCTTTATATCACAGTTGCTTCTGAGTCATCAGCATCATTTGGGGGTTTTCTCAGAATCTTATCTATTTTTATATATTTAAGAAAATGCATATTTTGTCTGTTTCTATAATTTTTCTCTTGGTGGTTCATCTATCTCTGATCTGATGAGCCCTGTATTTTTCTCTTCCCAAGCATAATATTTAGGAAACTCTGACTTCCATTTTCCCTTTCTTTCTTTTTTTTTTTAAAAATGTGGCTTTATATGTTTATTAAGAGAATGGCCTATTTCCCCACAGAGAAAGATGGACTGATTTCCTTAGTAATATACTTCAACACTTCAAGTCAAGTGGTAGTGTAGATTTTATTTCCTTTTTGCAGGTAGTCCTCAACTTAAAACCAGTTCCCTAGCAAACATTTGAAGTTATAATGGATTTGAAGTTCTGACAGCCTCCTCCTCCCCCTGTGATCATGTCGGCGCACTTCAGGTGTTTGGCAACTGGCCGGCAGTTATGACTGTTTGGCATTTTACAACAGTTTTGCCGAAAGCCAGCATTTACTTCTGTTTTTTTTGGCAAAACCAACCCATAGGAACTATTGGCTTGCTTAATGACCATGACATTTGCATAACAACCGCCACAATTAAACTGATGTGTGCAGGGCTGAATGCAATAGTTCAAGTAAGGCCTGACCAAGGCAGAGTAGAGCAGGATAATTATATGTTGGTGGCAGTAATGATTCCCAAACTGCATACTACGACAGAGTTAGAGCATTTAATTTTTGGTATGGGGGGGGGGGGGTCTGAGAGAAGGGATTTGAGAGTGCCCAACCTCTTCCCTGGGGTTGCAGCCTTCTTCTGATCAAATCACCAATTTCTGTCTGCCACATAAGGGACAGAAACAATTATTATTCCATCCTTACTGACATTTATTGATTTATATTTATATATGTTTATCTATTTTTCACATTTCTGTTTGGCTAGATAATAAAATCCAAGTACAACTAAGTAAAATACCTTTGCTATTACTTCTCTAAAACAGTAAAATACTACCATAGCATACAAACATGTTACTATGAACTATCAAAAGAAAGTAAAGATGGCATTATAAAATTGGGGTAAGGCTCTCAAATCAATTCCCCTTTTAAGAGGTGTTGAAAGAAAAATCTTCATCAGGGTCCAGTCCAAGCTGGGAATAAACAAAATGGAGACTGCTTTAGAACAGGGCTTTTCAATCTTTTCACCCATTATACCACTTTTCGGATATGGCAATATCCAAGTACCACCAGTCACCCAGCAAGGTGTCAAAAACTTGATGACACCCCCCAAAAAAGGAAAAAAGTGATAAAGTATAGGTAGTCCTCGACTTACAACAGTTCGCTTAGTGACTGTTCGAAGTTACAATGGCACTGAAAAAAGTGCCCCCCAAGGCACAGCCGAGCAAGACATCTGCCTGCCCGCCCGCTTCATTCCCCTCCCCCGCTACCACCTTTCTAGGATGGTCGCGTACCACCTGCCAGGTGCCAATGTACCACAGGTTGAAAAGCCTTGCTTTAGAAAGAAGGTTGCAGTTTATTGAAGAGGAAAGCCAGACAGAAAGATGGCTGTGGGAAAAACTGACCACATGTAGCTAGGAGTGGTGGGTTTTTATACCTTCTGGGCTTTTGGTTGGAGTTCTTCCTGTTTGAGGCTTTGTATTTCCTGTGTCATGTACTTTGACTTGAGTCTGAGTGTGCCCTTTTGGTATTATGTTCCAGTCCTTAGAATTTGTGTGGGGATATGTAGATTTTAGGGGTCTTTGTCTTCCTAATTTCTTCAGTTTCTAGCTGGAAGGCTCAAACCTTTCTGAAAGGATTATTGAATTTGCATTTCTAAAATCTGGCTTCTGCTGAGTTTTCTGCTTGGGGGAGAGGAGCTGGGGCTGGTTTCTGTCCTTTTTTAAGATCTTCTCCATTATTCCTTTGGGGAAATATATTCTGCCTTTTTAATATTCCTCAAAATATTTCTTTCTCTGGATTCTTCCCACAGAGGCTTCCAACACATATGACAAGGATGGGACCTAATTTCTATGAGAAGCTTGTTCCATAGCATAGACATTGCCACTGAAAAGCAGAAATGTTTTGCTTCAGTTTCCCAATGTGGCATCACTATCAGATATTCTCTGATCTAATTCACTGAGCTTATATTCATTAGAGTAGGCAGTCCTACAAGATGCACAGTTGCCAAGCCATAAAATGGTTTATAGGTTATATCTTAAAATGTACTCAGATACTGATAGTAACCAATGCAGGGCCATGAAACCAACATTATATACTCCCAACAACAAGAGTAAACACATAGGACCAATTGTAGTTTGCAAATAGTTTTTAAGGGCATCCCAAATAGACTATATTCCAGTAGCCTTAGAAAGGATGATGATTGGTTAATAAATTGGACACAAAAAAGAGAATGGAAGAACTAATTCAAAAGTAGGAGTTGCCTTCTCCTTAATTCTTCTCTGCTAACTTACAATATTTGAGAAGATAGGGTAATAGACTTACATAGTCTCTTGTAAGGTCCTTTGTTTTGTGAAGAAGTTGCCGTGAGAGTTTTAAGCTCATGCTAAATTCTTTCTGAAGATCCAGCTTCTTTTCAGCGGCTTCAAGCCCAGATCCCTTCTCCTCTTGGAGTCCAACTGAAGGGGCAGCAAGAAGGATGTCAAACTTGAGAAGAACTTGGAGGAGGAGGAGGAGGAGAACTGTACCTAGAAAGAAGATTGAGACAAATAGAGAGAAAGTTACAGAGAAACATTTAGGGGAAAGTCAGGAAATTGGATGCTAGTGTATTTAAGCCAGAACTGTATCCTTATAAAACATTGGTGGCATCAGACAGCATCATTGTGAGAAAAATAGGTACACATCCACATCATATGCTTTGAAGACCCCTCTTTTTCTACAGAGTTAAACCTCAATGTTTACATGTTTACCATACCTGTATATTGAAGCAATGGGGAAAAAAACATAAAAGTAGGGCGACCCTCTCTCCATAAATCATTAAATCCATAATCTAAAATTAGCTTATTCATTCTCCATTTAGAAGTAAGTTTTTTCCATAAAATTCCTGCTACAGCGTCTCAGGAATAATATGTTTATCCCAGATCTGGTTTGCAGATTTGTCATGCGATTATCTCATCATTCATACTGGGGAAATCCATTTGAGGGGAATTTCATTTTACATAAAGGCTACCAAACTGAGACCTTTTCAGTTAGGTTGAGGTTTCAGTTAATTGCTTAAAAACCATAACTAAGATGTTAGTAGGCTGTGCCTGCATATGCTTCAAAGCAAATCTGAGAATCTTCTGGGAAAATCGATGGAACTAGGAAAGAAAGATGTAACCCAAAGTTGAGGGGGTATGGTAGCAACAATAGCCACAATGAAAACATTAATTTAACCTTCCCCAACCAGCTGATCAAAATATATAGTACACCTGATTACAAGTCTTTTTAGTCTTGGCCAGAATAAGCATGTTGGGAGTCTTAATCTCAGGCAGTTTAGGAAAGTCTTGGATTATAGCACTGGACACTAGTAGAAGATACTTGATCAAGTGTTTGGTCGCCTCTGAATCTAGTGCTCCTGCTTTATTGTTTTCAAAAGGAAATGGATTGGCTACATCTCCATCAGTCAATCAGTTATAGTACTCAAATGATTGTTTTGTAGAATTCTCCATTGCATATGATAGAAAATCCAAAGTTATTTTTTCTTTCTCCAAAGATAAATTATAGTACAGTAATAAAGCTGACACCAGCCAGAGCATAAAAAAACTCAAAAAATAGTGCAAGATCGGAAGATAAGGAGAGACCTGACCCAGAGAATTGCCAAGAATGGGATTCGACTGAATGGATATCATCATCATCATCATCATCATCATCATCATCATCATCATCATCATCATCATCATCAGTACATCAATAATCTAAATATTATTGAACAGTATATCCTCCTATTCCTCTGCCAAAACTCAATTGTGCACATAAAGACTGCTGATAATTTCCAATCTAGACCTGCAGTGTCATCAGAGCAGATTTCTAATAAGGACATCTGATTCACATTTTGAAGTAGATGGAGTAGTACACATTATCAACCAAACACACATCTCCTGTAATGTTATTATATCCAGAGGCTAAGATTATCTACCTGCTCAACTTTGGTGTTGGAGAAGACTCCTGAGAATACTGTAGACAGCCAAGAAAACCAATCGATGGATCATCAAACAAGTCAACCCAGAGTTCTCACTCAGGACTCAAATGACAAAGCTCAATTTATCTTATTTCAGATACATTGTGGGGAGACCCAGCTCTCTGGAGAAGACTTTAAAACTGGGAAGGGTAGAAGGACAAAGATGACCAGGATGACCAGATGACCAAGGATGACCAGCAGCAAGGTGGATGAACTCAGGCACTGAGTACACCATTGAAGGACCAGGTTAGGGATAGCTCATGATAGAAAAAAATCTATTTTGTGGTTGTTAAGAGTAAAAAACAATTTGATGGCACATAATCAATCCATTAATCAATCAACTAATCCAGGATGTTTCTGAACTGAAATCTGTGTCCCTTTAAGCTGGAAATGCATATCAGAGTTTGCACTTCAGGTTACGCCAAGCTATGTACCTTAAAATGTAACATAAAACTGCAAACTTAGGTGCTCTACACTCCTTTTAACTAATGTGACCCTGATGATACCTCTTCTTGTCATTGACTCATCCAACTTGGCTTTCATGGCAAAAAACACAAATAAGCCTCTTTTTTCACATAAGAACAACAGGTAGAAAGCATTTTTTTTCTTGTCTTACCACTTGGATGCATCCTGAGGCTTTCCACTTCGTGGGGTGATCTCTGTTCGCCTGCTTGAGAAGTTTAATCCTGCAGCCCATTCTGGGGGCCTTTTGAAGAACAGAGGCTTTCATTTTCGTGGGACACAAAATGTCCAAGATTACACTGCAGTTTGGGTTCTGATCTCTGGTTTCAGGGCAAAAAAATATCTCTCCCCCCAGTTATTCTTGATAGAGTTTCAGGGCGGAAGAGTAACGTATTGGAGCAGCAAGTAATTTTTTTTGAAGTTCCTCTTTTTTTCTCATTGAGAAAAAAGGAAATAGGGCTTTGGTCACGTGAATAAGGTCCCCCTTATCCTTCAGATTCCCCTCTCTCTCTCGCTCAACATGGACTTTTCCGAAACCACCTACGTATTTCAGTTTTGCTCTCTGTTTTCTCCTAGTGCCCCCTCCTTTCTAACAAAGTATATTATGAAAAGTAGAAAGTGCTGTAATTCCTAGTTCAAGTTTCCCCAGAGCAAGTTTTCCATGACATGGTGACGTATCTGCCATAGATCCTCTATAGTTTTGGCTAAAATTAACAAAGGCACCGCACATCTTACTATTTTGATACAGACCTAAAATTACTGTACAGCATGTTAACATTGAAATAGATCTTGGAAGTCATCTCCCTGGCTTACAAAAACATACACTGTCCTAATAGATGGGCCTCTCATCTTAACTGATGTTTTTTTTAAACAAAGGAGGCATATGCAGGTAATCTTCAACTTACAACAGTTCGCTTAGTGACTGTTTGAAGTTACGATGGCACTGGAAAAAAAAGTGAGTTATCACCATTTTTCACACTTACAACCATTGCAGAATTCCTATGGTCAAAAATCAGATGCTTGGCAACTGACTCATGTTTATGATAGTTACAGTGTCCTGGGATCATGTGAACCCCTTTTGCAACCTTCTGACAAGCAAAGTCAATGGGGAAGCCAGATTCACTTAACAACCGTATTGCTAACTTAACAACAGCAGTGATTCACTTAACAACTGTGGCAAGAAAGGTTGTAAGATGGGGCAAATGTAACAAATGTCTCACTTAGCAACAGAAATTATGGGCTCAATTGTGGCTTTAAGTTGAGGACTACCTGTATTCTTTTAAGTGCTTATTTGTACTACAAATAACTAATAATACAGTATTTCAACTGCATGGAACTGTTTATCTTCGATATGGTTGGTCTTTAATTCTTTGTCCTGCAAAAATATTATGAAAGACATAATTGGGATCTTGAGAAAAGTAGAATATTGCCTGATATTGCACCAATATAAGAATGATGACACAACTGTGATTAAGTCATCATGCAAATCTCATCATTTATTCCTTCTTGCTGATGCCTCTTAGCTTTCATCATTATCTTAGTCAAAAACAGTATGAAAGCTTCCAGCTTGTTCTTTATTGTTCACAATTGATTCTAGCTAGTGCGTGAAATTAATATTATTGTACAATAGTTTGCACATTTTATTAAGTCTCCTTTTTTTGGAATGTAGACTGACTTCTTCCAATCTGTCGGCCAATATGTTATTGTCCAGATTTGTTAGCACAGATTGGTTAGAAAGTTTACTGAGTTCTTCTGTTGATTGTGATCTTTCTGTGGTATTCCATCAATTACAGTGCAGCTTGGAATTCTGATTATCTGGTTTCAGGGGCAAAAAATAAAATAAAAATAATAATCTTCCCCCAGTTATAGCACTTACCATAGTACTGATATAGCACTGATATAGCACTGATTTGTGACGTGCTATAAAAAGAGCAAAACTGGCCTATAGTCAGACAGTACAGAATTCTTTTCAAGATCCTATGAACCCAAGGCATATGTGGTAAGGTATTTGGGTTATTACTGATTATAAGGTAGCTTCCCCGACATGTAAGAGTAACATGGAGTTTCTCCTAGTCATAGACAATTCAGTTCAATCCCATGCCCCATGCAGGAACTTAATTTAATTGAATTTAAAGCAAGCAGAATGTGCCTTCTTGCAAGTTAAACTTTGTGCCCTGTACAATATGATTTTGTGACCTACATAGTATAGAACAACTCTCTTTCAGATGGATGAATGAATGGTGCAAAATAAATGAATAGTTGCCGTGAGAGTTTTAAATGAATAGTGCAAAAGGGGTGTGTGTGTGCTTGTGGTGACCATCTCTTTCATATGAAAAAAAATGTACTAGAATGCTATAGTATCACAATTTTTCCCAGTAGTTAGGAACTGTGTGTTGTACTCATTCTATAAACACAATTGATATTTCATTGTATTGTTTACCATGTGCCCTCTGAACAGCAGCTGAATTCTGCCAAATTATGTTTAAGGTAATGTCTTATCTACATAAAGAAATCTATACAAAAGAATGTGTAGTTCTGCTTGCCCATGTGACTCTATTTGGAGGAAGGATAGGATTAAACTGTATTACATATTTTTTATTAATAGACTTGTCTTAGCTATGCAAAAAAAATAGAGATGGTTATCTCAGTAGAACGACGTTTGTGTTTCATGATGATTCAGCACAGAGCTGAAACTGGAAGCTGGGTTTCCCACTTGCAACCCAAAACCTCTAGTTGTCGTTATAGGAGATTAAGAAATGATCACTACAAACCTACAAGAAAGTTAGAAACAGGACACTGACTTAGAGACACTGACATATCATTTCAGGAACCTAAAAATAATGTTTACAAGAATTATGAGCTGAAACCATGAGTTAAATCAGTCCAGTAGCAAAAGGCTCTCATAGAGGAGACCTCCTATTGTATCTCTTCATGTTTTATTTATAACCACTGATGTTCATACATGAAAGTAAATATGTTGGGCTCGGTGTGGATTTAGATCAGGGGTCTTCAAGCTTGGCCCTTTTATGACTTGTGGACTTCAACTCCCAGAATTCCTCAGCCAGC